GTGTGTATGCTGTTGGTATTTCCGGGCAATTTGCAGGTGATAGGTGATTCAAGTGTCCTATCAAGTGATCAGCCCATTGTTTGATTTGTTCCTCCTTCTTGGTAATCAGGTTCCCTTGAGCATCTTTTATTGTTTTCATCATCTGGATTAATCTCTTCCCCGATAGAGACCTGGTTATCTGGTATAATGAATGTTCTGAGGTCTCTTTTACCTGCGGCCTGTTCTACTTCAGTTTTCAGTGTGTCGTAGAATTGTCATTTGTCTTTTCTAGCACTCTTTTTTTACTTCTTTATTCAGTGCAGTGTACATTGCACTCAGCTTATCTTTCTGTTTTGCATCTTTTCATTGAGTCTGTGGTGAGAGCAGGCCGTGAGAAAATATGTACAAGGCTGATTTAACAACCAATCACAGCAAAGTTAACGTGGCAAAATATGATTCGCAGATAGAGAACTCTATTTGTCGAGGAATCCCTAAACAACCAATCCGAAGCCTGCGTTTGTCTGCCTAACTTCTGATAAACAACCAATCAGATGACTGCGCTTGTCTATAATAATGTATGTGAAATATGTATAAATACGTGTTGATTTTCATAATAAAACGATCTGTTGCCTGGCCCTTGTCTTCTGTTGTTACAAGTCATCTTCTCTTTAGCCATCCTCCTCTCTTCAATTAGCTTCCAGATATCCGTTGAGAGTCATTCCTTGTTTCATCTCTTCCTTCTTCCTAGGACAGTTGTACATGTTTCCTTGAATATCCCCTTCAGAGAGTTAGCTCCATTGTTCTTCCACGCAGGCTTCCTTGGTGATAACACCTAGTGTCTCTGACTTTGCTCTAATGTGATCTGTAGTGAAGGCATCCCTTGTAGTTTTGTCCTTCAGTTTCTGAACGTTGAACGTGAATTACATTGACCTGTCTTCATTTGTTTTCATGGCTTTTAGCCTCACCTTGAAGGTTCCTTGAACTAGATAGATAATGGTCTGAGCCGACATCTGCTCCTCTTCTCGACTTTGTATCCAGCAGACTAGCTGCATCTCCACTTCCATGAGCAACATTGAGATGAAGCCTATTTGGTTTGTGATACATCCGTCTGGCGAAATCCATGTTGCTTTGTGTATATCCTTGTGTTTGTACACGCTCCATCTGATCACCAAATCATTGAAATATGGAAAAAAATCCCCATTTAAACATTTTGAAAAGTAAATATTTCTTCGCTCAATCTTTCTGTTTTCTAAACCATTGAAAGCGCAGAAGTCTGAAAACAATTCTCCATTCTCATTCATTTCTACGAACACCAGTCTCTCAACCTATGATGAGTTCTCTTCCTGCATTATCTGCTCCCAATTCGGCTTGCATTCATATCGCCAGTGAGGATTTTGATGTCGCCATTTAATATGTTGTCCATCACTGTATTATGTACTCGTCGCCAAATTATTGTTATGTACTGGTCAAGAATTTAGTAGTCCTGACGCAAGAAAGACGGAAATCAGAAGACCACTAGGTTTGCGATGATACTTCTATTTTCCAAAACACATGAAGAATCAATATGTCACACAAGTGTGTGAGAGCAAAATATATGAATATCCGAACAAGTGTGTGAACGAATATTCAAAATGAACAAATCAATAGACAGTCTTAACATGATTGGCTAATCATAATGGAATGTCGATCCATTTATACATAGTAAAATATAACTGACTGTCAAACAAACACACATACTATATATAATATAAGGGGAATATACATTGTTAAAGGAGACAGGTTCATCAAAGTGAAATGGTCACAGACTAAGAGAGCACAGAAAGAGAGACCACCATATATATATGGATACATATCATACTGTTTGTAGTTGTCTGTAAAAAGCCTCCTTGTCTTGTTCCACGTTGTTTGTAGCACTGTGCGTAGCATTGGATAATTGTAACCTTCCTTCCTTCCTTCCTTTGGAGTTGAATCTTGCTATCATGATCGTGGATGATATTGTTTCCCACTGCGTTATGGATTTGGCTGCCACTGGCGACGTCATTATGGCCACTCACTACCTCATTGTGTTCGTGGTTGTCATCTGGGTGACCGGAGTAGACTACTGACTCTCTCGCTGACAATATTGTTAATCCACATCCATTCCATCTGCTTTCACAGATACCCAGCACTTCCATACCATATCTTCGTATTTATTTGGCTACCTGGGCAGCCAATCTCGCACATTTTACGGACACTTCAATCCACATTCTTGTTCTTGCTTTTGTCGAGAAAGTGACTGCCTTCCCGGAGGTTGGCTTTCACCATCCTGTTGTGTCGTTTCACCTCCCCAATTCCAGCAAAAAGATAAGAGCATTCTTTGAATTCTTCGTGTTTTTAATATATATTTTCTGTGTTTTGAAGATTCTCTAGCAGTGTTATAGGTTTAGTGGTTGCTAGCCCCCATGCCCAACACTCCCTCCTTACCCGGGTTTGAGACCGGTTAGAAAACTAGCAAGCTAGTTAACTAGGCCAGTTGGTTTGATTTCAGAGTAGTGAATGTCTATCTTGGTTTCTCAATTCTGCCTTTGACATTATCATCCGTACCGACTGCCTGTCGTTTCAACGACAGGCCTTCTGGATAAGTGTAAGAAGTGACCTCATTCAAATTCCTGTCGTTGATACTGATTGACACGCTTATTTATTGTTTCCTCTATGTTGTTGATTATTAAGGTCTGCAGTTTTTTTTTCGAAGTGCCCTTCGTCATACAGCGCTGCGCCAAGTCTCTGATCTGTATAGTGAGTATCACTGACTTCGCATAGGAGTTGAAAATCCAGATCTTATTTTCATTTTCATGCGAAGTAGGGTTGTTGATCTCCCCACAGACTGCTGTTCTGCTCAGCAGTTCTCTCCGTTCTTTTCTATGGCTCTGAAACATAACCAATACGAGTTGAAGACATGAAAAGGTTAACTGATTTCGATCATAGATGTCTGTGATCTCTTTCGCACATTAGGTGGTTTCACAAGGTGAATAATGTTGACGTTAGGCGTATAGTGTTGGGCAAAGAGGGAAAATCAATCGATGAGGCTATAAAGTTACATAGACTAAGATGGCTAGGTCACGTGGTGCGCATGCCTAACCATTGCCTCCCTCGACGGGCTTTGCTAGCTGATATAGGTGGTGCAGGTTGGAAAAGAGCCAGTGGTGGCTAAACAAAAACATGGCCTCATCAATCCATGAAATCCTTGACAGTTAAACTGAGTCAGTCAGGTAGGGTAGGAGATGCAGACATCCGGGTTGGTGCCCTCGGGACGCAAAGAATGAATGACTGGAGACAATAGGTGACATGTCTCAAAATCGTTGTCAATGGCCAGCTCAGATGTATTCAGTCTCTGTAATCTTTCATATTTCTTTCTACCATTACCCATTCTGTTTCACTCTTATACATGTCAAACTCTATTGATTCTCTTCACTCATCTTCTTGTCTACCTTTGTGTGTGTGCTATTTGGAACGTGGCAACTCGAACTGGTGCACTTCGGTGGCAAGTTCTATGTTGAATCCAGACAGACACAGACTTAAGAGAAATGAAAGCTTGCCTTGCTTGCCCAATCCTCGCTTTGATATCATCGTCAGCTTTATCCGCTTGTAGTTGAAACGATGCTTCCCAGGAAGGTAGGTAAAAGAGGTTGCTTCTTTCAGATTTCTCCAATTTATACTGGCTGATTGTTGTCTGTTTTTGTTGCTGTTGCTGTTGGCCAGGAACCTTCATCAGTTACCTCTGTTTTCTCCATGTTCACCTGAAGGGAGTCCTATCTTCCCTGGATGCTTCTTCTATCGCCAACTTGTTGCTTTTCACTTGCATATCTTCCAGTTTGTGGGCTTGTATATAGTACTCTGGAACGAAAAGTCGTTTGGATGACGATTAGACTAAGAACAGATACTATTATAGAATAGGCTGTAAGCGAAGTTGTACTGCTGGTAAAGGCATATAATAACAATAAGATGTGTTCTTCTCAGATGATCAGCAGTTCAACTGTACTCTCTCTCCGCTCTTGCGGAACGAGTGAGGGTTAGAAAAAGTCGACTCTAAAAAGTGTACATTCCAACTTACCTTCAAGTTATTCTTAGCTGTCCGTTGTCTCCGGGGCACTGTAGCTGACCAACTGACTGGTTTCAGCATAGAACTTTGAACACATGTGCACTAGTTCAAGTTGCCAGTTTTCCTGTAGTACTCAAAAGAGGTCAAAAAGGCGTGAAAGAAAAATAGTAGTAATATGGAAGAACAATACAGTTTTATTGGATATGACATATAAATCACAGAGTGAATGGACCTGCGCCATCATCGAGAACGAAGATTTTTCCCCAATATCACTGATTGTCTCCAGCTTATTGTCATGGGTTCTTACCATTATCCCGAGGGCAGCAACCAGATGATAGGTAGGCAGTCTACACCTCTCTATGTGACTGGCTCGAATTACCTGGCAAATACTTCATAGATCGATGACAACTTTGGGTTTGATTGACCACCACTAACTTCTTTCCAATCTGATCCTATGTCAGCTAACATTGACCGTCGAGGAAGGCGGTTGACTGTTAGGCATGCGAAACACTCATATCCTAGCCATTTCAACTGGTGTAACTTCACAGTCTTGTAGATTGATTTCCCCTTCTCACCTAGCACTCGACCAACTCCTAACCTCAATATTATTGACTCTATTATACCATCTAACATGGGAGGTAGAACGCAGACACTTACGATAAAGGACAGATAATCAGGACTCTTTCATGTCTTCCATTTTGAATGGCCATGTCTCACTCACAGTCATGATAAATAAGGACGGGGTGGACTAGTGCTGTGCGGTTTACTCCAGAGATTATGTAAGTTGGCTAATAAATGCCAAACGACGAGCCTTCTGTATCGTCTGTAGTTAGGCACAGCACTAATTCTTTGATTTAGTCAGTCTCTTGACGATGTTGCTTTTTTATTGATCAATACTTATCATGCACTCTGTTGATGTTTTATTTGTAAAAAAAATCAATAGGTATCTCAACATCTGCGTATGTTAACGCGTTATATTAACTGTATTCGTATTGAAACAATTATGGGTGGAATATCAATTGATAAACAACTTCGCCTGCTTCAACGTTGTCCAGATATACTTGTTGCTACACCAGGAAGATTATGGCATTTTATTCAACAGGTTAGTTGAACACTCTTGAGTGTTTTTTCTTCTACTACTAATTAAGGTGTTTTTTCTTTTTGCGTATGTAGGAGAATGACCTTCAGTGATTTGGTTAAGTTATCTGGAGTGGGAACACTCAATTTTCAGGCAAATGAGCCTTGAGTTCGAGTCCCATCACCCCACCTATTTCAGCTTAGTTAAGTAGGTAGAAGTATTATGAGGCCTCCAACCGTCGGTGGCACAGTGGTTAGGACTGTCGCCGACCATACACATGGTCCGGGGTTCGAGCCCGCACCGACGCACATCTGATATCTATGGTAGGCCTGCGAAATTTGGGCTACCGATATCCATGCTGAAAATTCCATACTTGTACCGAAAATATAGTGTGGAATCAAGCTGTAAATCAAAAAAAAAAATGAAAAAATCTAATATCAGCATCAAATCAATGTGCACTGTGATGACGAGTGGCTTCCTACTGGCATAGTGGCTACATTGCAAATCTGACTGATAGAATTCAGTGTGTACCAAAGAAAGGACTAGACACATTACACTAGTTACTAGTGTGACCAATCAAAGTATTGTGAGCCCTCGCACAGTAAGTGTAACTCATATTTCCTCGTCTACGGGGTGCCGCCGACAATTATACATCTCATCCAACAGTTAGTTGTACAACAATGCTGCATGCCAAGTAATCCACAATGGGAAACTCACGGAATCCTTTCGAAGTGAAGATGGGGGTAAGACAAGGCTGCCTACTATATCCAATGATTTTCCTGATTGCGGTAGACTGGAAAATGCGAAAGATAGCAGTAGGTAATGAGTAGACAGGCATAAAATGGACCAACACAAAAACTTGAACGATTTGGACTTCGCTGATGTGATATATATGTCTAATTTCTCACAAACTGGAAGATATGCAAGTGAAAAGCAACAAGTTGGCGATAGAAGAAGCATCCAGAGAAGATAGGACTCCCTTCAGGTGAACATAGAGAACACAGAGGTAGCTGATGATGATTCCTGGCCAACAGCAACGGTAGCAACAACTGACAACAATCGCCTAGCATAAATGAGGGGAGAAATCTAAAATAAGCAACCTCCTTTACCTACCTTCCTGGGAAGCATCGTTTCAACTACAAGCGGATCGAACTGACGAGGACATCAAAGCGAGGATTGGGCAAGCAGGTCAAGCCTTCATTTCTCTTAAGTCTGTGTGGAGATCAGCAGCACTCAGCATGCAAATGAAAATAGGATCCGTGGAGGTCAACACGGTGCTCGTCATGAAAAATAAAATCTGGATTTTCAACTCCAATGTGAAGTTACTGCTACTTGCTATACGGATCAGAGACTTGGCACTTCATGAAGAGCACCGCAAACAAACTACAGACCTTCATCAACAGCTATCTTCACTCAATACTACTCAAGATCAGATGGCTGGCCAGAAAAGATCACCATGAGGGAGGCATCTTTGGCAATGAATGAACTAACCGACCAAGCAGGAATCAATTGTGCGAGAAATATGCATGCAGAAAGAAATGGATGTGAATTGGATTAGCCATACTCTGAGAAAACAAACCATCAAGTGGGTGACATCACACGACAGGCCATATCTCAAGTGGAATATGAATGGGGAACGGCGAGTTGGTCGTTCAAGAGTGACATAGAGAAGGTGATGTGTAGAGGAGATGGAAGCATGTGGGCAGATGTTGAGCCAGGCGAAAACGTTGGCGGAGAACCGAACTCGATGGAGACACTTGGCTGAAGCCATATGTTCCTCTAGGAACTAAAGGGAACAATAATAATAATAATAAATATCCTTGTGCATGATGAACCTATCCCTGGGTAAGGCAGTGTACATCAATTCGAGGTGTTTGAATTTCAAAATCACTTAGTACCGAGAAAATTGATCTGAAAGAAAATAGGTGTCAAATGATGGGAATTTTGTCCTTTTGGTATATATATATACCAAACAAAAGGTTCACAAAGACAACTATCTTTTCAACGATTTATTAGTATTATTGTCTTCTTTAGTTCTTAGAGGAACATAGGGCTTCAGTCGCGCGTCTCCATTGCGTTCGGTTATCTGACAACGTTTTCACTTAGCTCCAAGTCTGCCCATATGCTTTCATCTCCTCTTCATATGACTGCCTCCTCCATGTTACTCCACCCTCACTCTGACAACCAACTCGCCGCTTCCCGTTCGAGTCCCATTCGAGCAATGGCCTGCCGTGTGATGTCTGTCACTCACTTGATAGTTTGTTTTCTCAGAGTATGGCCAATCCAATCCACCTCCATTTCTTCCTGCCTATTTGTTGCACAATTGGTTCCTTCTGGGTTGGTTGGTTGGTTGGTCGGTTCATTGCCAGAGATGCCTCCTTGTTGGTGATCTTTTCTGGTCACCTATCTGATCTTTAGTGAATTATTGAGAGAAGACAGCTGTTGATGAAAGTCTCTTTTCAACGACATCACAATAAAATCGCATTTATATGCATAAGTTTGCATAGATACACTTTGAATAAAGCAAGAACAACGGCAGTTTTTGCAGAATAAGACGTTGGTACCATTATTTAGTTTATTTCGTTAGCTTCTCATCAGCTGCTGTTTACAGCCTAAATAAATAATTATTATTAAGTTCATGTAGAGAAAAGAATTTAACGTACTTGCAATTTTCACATGATATCAGTTAGTGACAATGTTCCGATTTGAGTGAACTGTGCTCAGAAAATTACCCTTATATTGTTGTGTACACAGGGAGTTCAATTTTAAACAAAGTAAATGTATTCAGTCCAATCAATCGACGGGAAAATCTAAAATTGAATTACATAAAAATAATATGACCCGTTGCATAAGAGGTGGCCAGCTGTCGTGGCCCAAATGGTCTAGAGGATAATGCTTTAGCGTTTGAAACTATGGGCACTGGGTTCGAGCCTTAGTGGTAGAAACATCATCATTCACTGTGAAATGCAGGTATATCCAGTTAGCTGACGAGTCCCAAATAGGACGAAACACGCGTCCTGGCTGGTTTCCACTGCTAATCACCATCCACCAATTAAAGTAAATGTATTCATACATTGGTAAAGAAGTTATGTAGTAAAGACGAGAGTTGAATAAGATGCAGAGTAATTAATAAATTGCGTGACAATGTACAGAGTGCAATTCAACTCATAGAAACAAGAGAGGTTGGACTAGTTTCTTTTAAACTCGTAGTTTCAGCTTTTCGATGCATTTGATGACGTCTTCTGCAGTACCCCAAGATTTTTGTTTACTTTGTAAGTGACTCTGAATGACGATGAGTCAATTGAGATGCTGTGACAGGTGTCAATGAGGTATTCAATTATGGCGCTTCTCAGTGAACTAGTACCCTCCTCTTTTTAAGCCATATTGGATAATATTCTCTAACATGTTTTGTTAGGACCTGCATAGAACGAATTTTCTACTGGGAATATATAATTAGTTTAATTTCCCAGCCTTTAGTTCTACGCCATCAGTCATAGTTGTCACTTCGCTGATCGGTATAGTGGAATATAGGACATAGTAGTTTTTTTTTGGTACTGATATACAAGTTTCATCGTTAAGTGACTTCAGTTAGAGAACCATTGGATAGCTTTTTCGTCCTAGTTTGGGACTTTTTACCACCACGTATCCAATGATTCCAAGACCGGGAATCATCGAACATGAGACTGTCAAGTTACGAGGCGAGCCTGTTCATCACTTTTAATTTGTTAAGCACAGATTGTTATATCACCCCCCCCCCTTATGTATGGGAATTACTTGGGAACATCTTGGAAGCACACCGCCTGTTTACCGCCCTTGACTGACCCGATTTCGAGGAAGTTAAACCAGATTCCTCGAACAACAACAACAAATGGAAATTATCGAGTTGCTGATGCATTCGAAAATTTCTGGTTTTGAACCATTTCAGGCTACTCCGGCTGTAATAGCCGCCTCAGGAAACGGAATTGTAGATGCCATTACTGAGTTCCACAATAATTCTTATGCCAACGTTACATTCGATACTTAATTCAAGAGATAACATGAAGACAATTTCAAAGGAGATTTTTCTGGCCAAGATGATTCATGGAAAGTGTACCTCTGTAGCTCAGGTGGATGATTTTGATGTGGTTTTGTTCTCTGAGCTGGATGGTTAGTTTGCGTAAACATCAAAAAGTGTACCTCCCACTTCAAAATTTGGATCCATTTGAATTCGGCCAACAGACCGATATAACTCTGCCTCAAAATCCGTGTAATCGCACCTTTGAAGCAGACAAAATTTTGGTGATCGATCATGTTTATTTTTATTTTATTTTTTATTTTGATCACAGCTTGATTCCACACTGTATTTTTGGTACAAGTATGAAATTTTCAGCGTGTGATATCGGTAGCCCAAATTTTGCAGGCCGACCATAGATATCAGGTGTGCGTCGTCGGCAGGGGGTCGAACCGCGGACTATGTGCATAGTCGGGGCGAGAGTCCTAACCGCTGTGCCCCTGTCTAAAGCTAATCAAGAACGAGAATGATGATTGAGCTATTAGGACGGAATCTAATGGCAAATTAAATCTAACTTTTGCAATATTTAGAAACTGACAGTTTGTTCCCCCCTGTTTTCTTCTCTGTTCAAGATGTTTGCAGTAGACGTCACGTGATGTACTAAGTTGATTGAACAGTTGGGTAGCAACTAATGTCATGGATGTAGTAGTAGTTCGTGGTGGCGTGTTGATGCAGACTGATTACTATCAGTCTAGTTTAAAAATGTCGCCACTACGCTAGCTGTGATGGCTTGCCATCATGTGGTTTACTGTGAATTGTTGTTACTTAATGGTTGGTGGCAATCTCTAGGAAGACTTGGATCTAGATTTCAAGCTTGCTAGCATTCATCTGTACGCTTGAAGGAGGTTAGGACCTGCATCATCCAGTGCTGCCTGCAGTTAGAAATGTTTCCAGTGAGCTCTTCAAGCTCACGATTGACCACCACCTCCTGTAGGAATATAATGGATACTTTGATTGAATACTAGGTAGGAACTAATGTCATGCACATAGTTTAGTCTGGCGCTGAGCGACCCGGGCTCAAACCTGAGAAGGGATATGATTTCCTTCAACATCTCAGATACGTCTTACTAACTAGTGAGTGCCAAAAAACAAAACGTCCAGTAGGGGGCTGCTTGTCGATTGCTCTCAACTGTCCAACAAGAATATCTATTAATAGAAGCTTTTTTCAGTAGTACATGCAGCTCTTTTTAATAATAATAAATTACTTTATTCCAAAAACAGCACTACTTATAATACAGAATGGAATTCTCAACATTTGTCACGATATTGCATCTGATTTACTTAAAATATAAATATAATTAAAAATTAAAACAAAAGTAACCAGAGGAATTTGTCCACGCTTACGATATAAAGTCATAAATATTCGAAGCACGAATCGAGATCATTAAATATAATAATAATAATAATAATAACAGTGAGTTTGCTTCAAACAGTATTATCGATTCAGTTTGAAAATTTTAGCATGTTGCTATAGATTATTGAATCTAATGTTCTGTTGATATAGTATAGTGAGGGGAAATACACAATTAACAGTGGTCACACAGCTTAAACGATGTTCACACTTATGAAAAATAAATAAATAAAAACAAAAAATTGAGAGGATTATAAATATAAGAAATACAGTAACGATAAAGTTTGGTACTGTAAGGGTGGAAGAAATGGTTTATTTAGTAGTAGTGCGAAGAGGGTTAGTTAGTTATTTCATGCCTGACACCATTTTCATCACATAAAGTGCGTGCCGCGAAATATGGTATAGTGGAATTATTTTTATACTTAGACGTACGTGCGTAAATTCTTCTAAAAAGACTTCTTGTTTTACCTGAGGAGGAGACACAAGGTTGGAGCTGCGGGTAGAGTGGGTGCTCAGAGTCTGACAAAATTCCTTTAGTGAATTTGTTACATGACACCAAGTGCCTCTCAGTGACAATGTCAACGATATGGCCCAATGAGATACCACTCGCCCTACTTAGCGACAGCCTTCAGAGTTCTACGAAGTATGACATAGTCTTTTTTAAGCAATCCGGGAAAGAATAAGTAAGGGTGAACAGTAAAGAACCACAGGTAAGGTGGACGAGTTGACAAACTGTAAAAGGAGGCGGGGTTGGTTGGGTTATGCCTGAATGCCTCAACCTCTTCTTAATGTAAAAAAGTCAGACGAAATATTCTTTTAGAAATAGCTAAGACATGCGAAGATCAGGATAGGTCAGTAGAAAGAATTAATCCAAGATACTTAACTTTAGACGTGGTTTCTATATCACTATCATCAATTTTGCAAGGGTCATAGGAACCAACGGCTTCATTTAACTGCCTTTTGCATCGGAAACTGAAATTAACAGTCTGACATTTGAAAGGATTTATTTTAAGACCGACCATTAGACGAAGACCATTCACGGACTCCTGATAGAAAGCTGTTCATCTTAGTACAGTCTAGCTAGCTGGGAGTTAATAGACATTGAAATAGTTAGATCATCGGCATACTTAACAAAGTTCATTTAGCTAGATTATTCTAATAAAGGTATCTTTGTTTAAATCTGATTATGAATAAAGGTACATTATTTTGTTTTCCCGCTTAATTAATTAATTAATTTTTTCTTTCTTTTCATATTCATGATGAAGGATGAGCCGCATATTCTCACCTTACCCAATGTCAGTGTTGTAGTCATCGATGAGGCTGACAGAATGATTGAAGCAAATCATTTTGATGATTTACGCGCCATTTTCGATTGGTTGCATAGTGGTGGATCAATGTCAAGCGATGCTTGCGGTAGTGTAAATGATGAAGGTAACAACGAAGAAGAAGAGGCAGTGGAATTCGAAAATTCTAATAAAAAGACAAAAAATCTTAAACGAAAGTCAGTGGACGATAGCGCCAACAATGCTCCAATCGACCGGCAAACTCTAGTTTTCTCCGCCACGCTTACATTTGTGCATGGTGGTGCACTGAAACCAGGCAGTGGATCTAAAAAGCATAAAATGTTATCGGGGAATAAAAGTAATATGACAAAGAAAATAAAACTTGGTATGTGATGTAATTTTCGATGTCAATATTTTTATGCTTACATTTATTTGTAGGGTATTAGACATATCACATTTAGGGTGATCTAAGTAATTTTGATCACAGATTTAGTCATGAGCTGTTTCGTCCTAGTTTGTGACTCATCATCAGTATGCGTCTGTCAGATTTCGAACCCCGGGACTCTCCGGTTACAAAACGAAGCTCATAGACCATTTAGCCACTGGGGGTACTGATCCAGTGGTCAGGTTATGGATTCCAACTTCTACCAGTTCGCGATATATAAATATATCGCGCAACCGCTAGCCAATATCTATAGGCGAGTACTCGTCCTCTTACCTGACTTGATGGACCTCTTTGGTGACGGTTCACCTGTCTGTCTGTTTTCGACATAGTACTTTGCACAAATGTGAGGAAGTTCAAGTCGCCACACTCCGTGTAGCACGCGAAGCAAGAGAAGAAAGTACAAGAAAAGCATAATAGAAACAGTGAGCAGAGGGGTGAGACAAAGGAGGAGTAATAACGAAGAACAAAACAGTTTCATTGGAGATCATAAGTCACAGGGAGTGGATGCATCTGCGCTGGCCACTGAGAACGGTTTTGACCCATGTCACCAATTGTTTCTAACCATAGGTTTTTACCGTCCCGAGGACCCCAGCCTGGACGTCTACACCTTTCTACGTGGCTTAGACCAACTGTTGTGGATTTCATTGACTGGTGAAGCCAAGTTTTTGTTTGACCGCCGCTAGCTAGTTCTTTTCCAGCCTGACCCTATATCCGCTAACATTGCTCGTCGAGGAAGGCGATGGCTTGGCATACGTAACACATGTCCTAACCATCTCAGTCTTTGTAGCTTCACGACTTCGTCGATTGATTTCCCCTGTTTACCTAGAACTCTACGCCTAACCTCCATGTTGCTCACCTTATTATGCCACTTTACACGGGAAATAGAACGCAGGCACCTATGATCAAAGACAGCTAGTCTTTTCATGTCTTCCACTCTCAGTGGCCAGGTCTCGCTCACAACCATAGAGGAGGACGGAGCGGACTGATGAGCAGTACACCCGCCCTTTGGTCGATAGTCGAACATCTCGTCTACGCCAGAGTCGGCGTAAACTGGCAGGCATATGCGAAACGAGCCCCCTGTATTCGTGCTGAGGTTCACCACTCAAACTCCAGGAAAACCCCTGTATAGAGCTACTGGCTAGTGAGCATCTGATTAACTATTAAGTTTGACCACGGATTGATATCAGTTAGAGAACCATTGAAAATCACTACTGGAGTACTGGACAACTGTATTGTCCTGGTTTTGGGACTCTTTATCAGTATGCACCCACCCCATTGAAGTTTGAACACAGGACCTTCAGGTTACAAGGCAAGTTTGTATACCATTCAGCCACTGGGATCCAATTCAATGCTTCTCTAACTAATATCAATCCGCGGTCAAACTCGAAAAATAAATCAAATCCTTACAGTTCAACTCCTGAAAGTAACTGTTGAGTGTTGGTTTCCAAAGGAAACTTAGATGGCCAGAAAAGATCAGCAATTGGGATCTCTGGGAGCAAACCAATCAGGGACCGATTGTGCAACAAATAGGCAGGAAGAAATGGAAACGGTGGATTGGCTAGCCATACTCTGAGGAATCCATCAAGTGACATCACTAGACAAGCCCTCGAGTGGAACCCGAATGGGAAGGAGCGAGTCGGTTGTGAGTGCAAGTGTGGGGTGACATGGAGGAGGAGGAGGAGGTCATGTGAACGGGAGGAGATGAAAGCATGTGGACAGACTTGAAGCCAGGTGAAAACTCTAGCAGAGAACTGAATGCAATGGAGACATTTGACTGAAGCTGTATGTTCTTTTAGGAGTTAAAAGAAATAATAATAATAATTAGTATTGTTCCCTTGGGTTCAGAGTAGATCAAAAAGCTTCAAGAGTACACCTCCACATTATTGTCATATTCTCTGCAATTGTGTTTAGTTGGCTTCACGATTGCCTATAGTTTCTCATCTCTTCTTGGCATAACTTCCTCCATATCACCCTCAAACCAACTATGCCCAACTCCTTCGTTTCCCACTAGGGCTCTACTCCAACGATGACCTGGCTAGCGCGTGATTTCATTCGACGCTCTCTCTTCATCAGTTTGCAAATGATGGATTTGTTTATCGAATCAACTGCAAATACATGTAATAGGAATGATTCAACACCTGTCCCAGATATATGGAAAATTCTACTGCCCATACAACAAATAGGAGAAGACAGAGAAAACTATAAAAATCAAATCTCGAAGTCGTGTGACCGAAACTGATATGATTATGAACAATAAATTGTGTTCGAAACGTCATCCAGTATACAATACTGTTTCACTGTGTGATACATTTAATAATCAAACTAATATGGAATTACTTAATACCACAGTGCCCAAGTTTTACACATATATTAAGATGGATTCGATTCTAAATAGAGAAAATGTTTAAATGCTTTAGCGGTTAGTTGACTACAATCCTCAACAACAGCACGGATCCGAAAAGCTCGAACTGCTTTCGCTGACTTACACCATCTCTGGCGTAGGCGTGACATCCGGTTATCAACCAAGGGACGTGTGTACTGCTCATCAGTTCGTTCCGTCCTTCTCTATGGCTCTGAAACATGGCCAATACGCGTTGAAGACATGAAAAGGTTGACTGCTTTCGATCATAGATGTCTGCGATCTCTGTCTCACGTTAGGTGGTTTCACAAGATAAGTAATGTTGACGTTAGGCGTAGAGTGTTGGGCAAAGAGGGAAACTCAATCGACGAGGCTATAAAGTTACATAAACTGAGATGGCTAGGTCAGGTGGTGCGCATGCCTAACCACCGCCTCCCCCGACGGGCTTTGTTAGCTGATATAGGTTCAGGTTGGAAAAGAGCCAGTGGTGGCCAAAGAAGAACATGGCCTCATCAATCCATGAAATCCTTGACAGTTGTTAAACTGAGTCAGGTAGGGTAGGAGATGCAGACATCCGGGTTGGGGCCCTCGGGACTGACTCTAGCAATCAATGGCTGGAGACGATAGGTGACATGGCTCAAAATCGTTGTCAATGGCCAGCGCAGATGTATTCAGTCTCTGTAATCTTTCGTATTCCTTTCTACCATTACCCATTCTGTTTCACTCCTATACTTGTCAGATTGTATTGATTCTCTTCACTCATCTTCTTGTCTACCTCTGTGTGCTATTTGGAACGTGGCAACTCGAACTGGTGCACTTCGGTGGCAAGTTCTATGTTGAATCCAGACAGACAGACAGACAATTACTGCCTAATTAAAAGTTGCCTTCATTATTCCTCTAGTTTTTTTTTTGATTGTATACTAAAATAAAAATCGGTGTGGACTATTTCTTGTGGTAAAGGAATTGAAATTATTTATACCCTGGAATTCCAGCTCTTTGAGTTGTGTTAATTTCTAATAATGCCGAATTCAAAATGCACCCAAATAGCTAGCAAAAAAAATATATTGGATAGTTTAAACTGATTCCCCTCTCTGACCTTAATCATGGGTTTGCTGTATTCCCACTCAAATGAATGAACAATATAAATATTATTACTGTTTCTTTTAATTCCTAGAGGAATATAGGGCTTCAACCACGCGTCTCCATTGCGTTCGGTTTTCTGCCAACGTTTTCACCCCTCTCCAACGCTTTCATCCCCTCTTCACATGACCTCCGACAAGTCACTCTCGCACTGACAACCAACTCTCCGCTTCCTTTTCGGGTTCTACTCGAGCAATGGCCTGGCGTGTGATGTCACTTGATGGTTTCGTCAGAGTATGGCCAATCCATCTCCATTTCTTCCTGCCTATTTGTTTCACAATCGGGTCCTGGTTGGTTTACTCCCAGAAATCGCTGTTGGTGATCTTTTCTGGCCATCTGATCTTGAGCAGTATTAAGCGAAGACAGCTGTTAATGAAGGTGTGTAGTTTGTTTGAGGCGCTCTTTATGACGCGCCAAGTGTCTGATCCGTATGTTAGCACTGACTTCACATTGAAGTTGAAAATCCGGATCTTATTTTTGATGCTGAGTGTCGTTGATCTCCTCCACACAGACTTGAGAGTAATGAAAGCTTGTCTTGCTTTTCCGATTCTGGCTTTGATATCCTCGTCAGTTCCATCCGCCTGTAGTTGAAACGATGCTTCCCATGTCTGTAGGTGAAAGAGGTTGTTTCTTTCAGGTTCAGTAAATATAAATAGCTTTATTCCAATCAGTACTTGTGGTACAAATATGGAATTTTTAGCATGTATACAATATATTCAAAAGATTCTGGAACGTATGCATACATACCGTCGGCATCCAACACTTGTCATATTTCTTGATCTAAAGGCGGAATCCGATTCCGTCGACCGAGACGTACTGTGACGATGTTTGGCTGTGAAGGGAATGACGAGAAAATTCATCGCACTGATCAATTTACTTACTCAACTCGAACTCATGCAGTCTCCAGCCAGGTGAGAGCTTAAGGAGAGTTGTTGTCTGACAAATGTGGTGACAACCAGTGGTGTTCGTCGTCAGGGATGCCCAATGTCCCCATTTCTGTTTAATTTCATCATAGATGTACACACTATTGCACTCAATCTAAACTGACTTCAGCGACTCAGGAATCGACTTGTCATTGACCAGGGGATAACCTCATTGACTTAGAATACGCAGATGATATAGTCGTCTTCCGATGTGAAGATGCTGATAGAATAGAGCAGAGTCTTCTAAACACCTTGAGGAGCAGCAATCTTGGAATGTTTGGTATGCTATTCGTTCCCTTTGTCAAATATAAGGTGGTGTTACAGGACTGAATAGACTGCATTGACTCCTAACCTAAAGATAGGGGCAGAGTGAAGTGGTGGGGCATGTTGACTACTTCAATTGTTTTGGGGAGTTGCATCAGCCAGCCCCAAATGGTTGATACCTGACGAAATCTCAACCCGGAAAGGGAAGGCTCATTTAGCCAACTTACACCATCTCTACCGTAGACGTGATATCAAGACTATCAGTCGAAGGATGTGTGTACTGCACAGCGGCAGTCTGCTCCGTCCTCCTTTATGGCTGTGAGACCTGGCCATTGAAAGTGAAAGACATGAAAATCATGGCTAGCTATCTTTGATCATAGGTGTCTGCATTCTATCTCCCATATGAAATTGTATAATAAGGTGAGCAATACTGAGGTTAGGCATCGGTCGAGTGCTAGGTGGTGGTGACGAGGGGAAATCAATCTACGAGACTGTGAAGTTACTTGGATTGAAATGGTTAGGACATGTGTTTCGCATGCCTGAAAATCGACCACCTTCCTCGACGGTGAATGTTAGCTGACATAGGATCGGTCAGGTTGGAAAAGAGCCACTGGTGTTCAAACCAAAACATGGCTTCATCAGTCAATGAAATCCACAGCAGTTAGTTTCAGTCACGTTGGTAGGTGTAAACTTATTGACTCGTTGGGGTCTTTGGGATGATGGTAAGAACCAATGGCACTGTCTGGAGACAATTGGTGATATGGATCAGAATCGTTTTCAACATCTGGCTCAGATACATCCACTCCTTGTGGCTTACAATACTCATCACACCATATTCTTCAATACTGCTGTAACGACAGAAAACAAGGGTCAGACAGTAAATCCTTTATTGAGAAAATCAAGAGATATTTATAGATTTTTATGTAAATTATTATTCGTTATTTCCTCAGAGAAGCGATGTCTTCTGATTGGTTTTTCTCGCTGAAGGTTATTCTCTACTGCTTGTGACCATAGCTTACAAAGTTATCCATATATCTGCGAATCGTATTTGCACACGCTAAATTAGCTCTGATTGGTTGTTGAGTTTCTCAAGGTTAATCTTTGTTCTTGTTTTTTCTCATGACCCTGATTCGAGAAGTAGCATTGGCGTCAATTGTCGTCTACAATTTTGTCTTGCAGACAGCTCTCATCCCACTTTTTTATTCCTTTACGTACCCAGTAGGACATAGGGTGGCTTCAAGCTAGAGGCTTGAAGTTCCTCTAGCAGTGGTATTTATTTTTACTGGATGGATTCGCTAGCCTCACTTGGCCCAACCTTCCCTCTTTACCAGTAGTCTAATTACTGGCTTAGCGAGGGAGGTAAAGGAGTTCGTTAGCGGCCGGGGATCGAACCTCGGACCACCTGTGGCGTGGTTACCGAGCATCCAACTACTGTGCCACCGACGCACATTATTCCTATGACAAGTACGTATGTGTCTGATCAGATTGTTGGAGATGTGTTGTTCAAATACACTTTATTTAATTGTTAAAGTCACCACAGTTAACTAATTAGATTACTCTTTGAAATTGTAATCGAATATTTTCAATTTTTTCTCTCTCTTCGACGTATAGCTCTACTGCGTGAAATGTTTGGTTTAAGAAAATCAGTTCAAGTGATTGACCTATCGTCGTCTAGTTCCCCGAACAGTCAATTAAATCAAAAAGCATCTACAGGCGGTCAACATTCACAACAACAACCAGCCTGTCCTGATGGTCTATGTGAATCACGTCTTTTATGCCCAAATCAAGAGAGTAAAGATAATCGATTATTTTGGTTTATTACCTTTGGTCGTCAACTTGCCTCTGCTTGCTTACCAGTCAAACTTTCAAATCAAAGATGTTTAATTTTCTTGAATAGTAAATCAGGTGTACGTCGATTAGCTGGTGTGTTACGTCAGTTAGTGGAGTCTGATGCTTTTTCAGTTGGCGGATATTCATCATCAGTGAAACATATTAGTGTTTTACATGCGGATATGATTCAAAAGCAAAGATTACGGGCTTTAGAACGTTTTCAAGGTAATTAAATTATTTATTTTTTTTACGAAAATTTCTCTTTTCATGTCTTTTATTCTATATTGACTTCCTTAAGGTTCCGAGTGGAATTAGAGAGGACTTCAGCAGGATATCTTGATTTCATTTTACTCTCTGAAGTGAGAACTTTAGACCTATACAAGAGAAGAACTTGGCGATTCTGGACTTCGCCGATGTGATATATGCGTCGGTGGCACAGTGGTTAGGACTCTCACTGACCATGCACATGCTCCGGGGTTCGAGCCCGCACCGACGCACATCTGATATTTATGGTCGGCCTGCAAAATTTGGGCTACCGATATCCATGCTGAAAATTCCATACTTGTACCGAAAATACAGTGTGGAATCAAGCTGTAAATCGAAAAAAAATGTCTGATTTCCCATAAACTGGAAGATATGCAAGTGAAAAGCAACAAGTAGGCGATAGAAGAAGCATCCAGAGAAGATAAGTCTTCCTTCAGGTAACTGATGAAGATTCCTGGCCAACAGCAACTGCAACAACAACAACTGACAACAATCAACCAGCATAAATGAGGGGAAAAATCTGAAAGAAGCAACCTCCTTCACCTACCTACCTGGGAAGCATCCTTTCAACTATAGGTGGACGGAACTGATGAGGATATCACAGCGAGGATCGGGAAGGCAAGGCAAGCTTTCATTACTCTCAAGTCTGTGTGGAGGAGATCAACAGCCGTCAGCATGAAAATGAAAATAATATCCGGATTTTCAACTCCAATGTGAAGTTAGTTTTACTTGCTATGCGGATCAGAGACTTGGCACTTCATGAAGAGCACCTCAAACAAACCACAGACCTTCATTAACAGTTTTCTTCGCTCAATACTACTCAAGATCTGATGGCTGGCCAGAAAAGATCAGCAATAGGGATCTCTGGGAGCGAATCAACCCATCAGGAACCAATTGTGCAACATATAAGCAAGAAGAAACGGAGGTGGATTGGATAGGCCATACTCTGAGAAAACAAACCATCAAGTGAGTGACATCACACGCCAGACCATATTTCGAGTGGAACTCGAATTGGAAGCGGCGAGTTGGTTATCAGTGAGAGGGTTGGGTGACATGGAGGAGGAGGTGATGTGAAGAGGAGATGAAAGCATGTGAGCAGACGTGGAGACAGGTGAAAACGCTGTCAGATAACCGTGAAAGCAATGGAGACGTTTGGCTGAAGCCCTATGTTCCTTTTAGGAACTAAAGGAAACAATAATAATATTCTCTGAAGTCCTCTTTAGTCCTCATCTTCTGCTGTTTCACCCTCGAGATGATGTCCTACTGGTCATTTTCTAACTGGGCTCCACTCGGGCGATGGCCTGGCCTGTGTATCTGATATATCCCCATTTCCTTCGTCATATTTGTTAGGTAGTAGGTTGTTATTGGTTGGTTCATTCGTGGAAGTTCCCTTTCGTATACGCTTTCTGACTGGGCTATCTGACCTACATTATTGGAGAAAAGATAGCTGTTAATGAAAGTTTGAAGTAGATTCCTACACTAACTTCGGCAGGAAATCCATCCTCACTTCAGAGTGGATCATGTTTATTCTCTTGGAATTTCAACATTCTTGTCATGTGATTTATTCTTCTCGTTATAGTAATATTCAAAAGTTGATTTGTAAGGATAAGATTTGTTTTAACGAGTTGACCATGGATTCATATCAGTTAGAGAACCATTGAAAATCACTACTGAAGTACTGGACAGTAGTCGGCTGTTTCATCCTAGTTTCAGAATTATCGGCAGTATGCACCCACCGCCACGCCAAGGTTCGAACCTAGGACCTTCCTAGCTCGTATACCATTCAGCCACTGGGACCCAGTCCAGTGGTCAGTTCATGAATTCTAGTTTTTCCCAGTTGGTGATGCATCTAGCGCGACCAACTTCAACCAATGTTATGTGCGGAAAATCTGTCCACACTCGCGACTTGATTAACCTCACTGGTCACGACTTCTCACTTGGACTCACTTCAGAAAACTCTGTCCTGTAGCAAATCACTCACTAGCGAGTATCAGATATGTTCGGTAATTGGTGATTGATTCATTTGAGTACCAGGCTTCTAGAAATTTTCTGACTGCATTTTTGGTGTTTCCCCGACTTGAAAATTTCTATATTATCTACGTGAATCGATAGAAAAGAATTCAACTTGTTGCGTTGCGTCTGAAGCCGTTATGCAAAGCGATTGGAATTAATAACCCCACCTATAATTAAACCAAAAGCCTGGGTACGTTACGTTGATGATACATTTGTAATAATTAAAAGAGATATGATTTGGAATATTACCCACAAATTAATAAACAACAAGATATTTAAAGACATTAAATTTACCACAAGAGAAGAAAAATTAGACACCGAAATTCCATTCTTAGATGTCTTAATCAGGAGAACTAGCACAGAAAATTTAGAAACACAAGTATATAGAAAATCAAGGCACACAGACTAAATAATCAACTATAATAGTAATAACCCGATAACTACTCACAAAAGAAACTGTGTGCAAACATTGTTTAAAAGAGTGCTCCAACACACTAGCACTATTCCAGTGTTGTAGAGAATGAAGGGAAAATACCTACTAACCGTCTTCAAAACAGGATGGATATCACCCTCACAATTTCATCAAAAAGTTCAATTGAATTTTTGATTTTCCCATCGATTGATTGGACCGAAGTGCTCGGTCTCAGGTTGACATGTCGGCTTCTTGGGCAGATGCTTCGACGATGTCTGGGCATTTAATTGGTGGATGGTGATTAGCAGTGGAATCCAGAATGCGCATTTTGTCCTATCTGGGACTCGTCTGCCAGCTGGATGTACCTGCATCTATCAGTGAGTAATGATGTTCTCACCGGGGCTCGAACCCAGTGTTCATAGCTTCAAACGCCAAAGCGTTATCCACTAGACGACTTGGGCCACGAAAGCTGGCCACCTCTTGTGCAACGGGCCATATTAATTTAATTGAATTTTTGATTTTCCCGTCGATTGATTGGACCGAAGTTCTCGGTCTCAGATTGATAAGTCGGCTTGTGCAGATGCTTCGAGCCTCGGTGGGAACATCATCATTCACTGAGAAATGCAAGGAACCATCATCAAAGACTATAAGAAAATTCATTCTACCATATGTAAAAAAATATTTGTGAAATAACAGCTAGGTATATAGCCCACAAGCCGACATAATCACTTCATTTGATATTGTGCAAACCAAAAGATCCAACAGAAAAAGAAGATAAAATTAATATCATTTACAAAATAAATTGCATGCATGAACTGCAATCAACATTACATCGATCAAAGTAGGTGTCTGTCCTTCATGTCTAAATTGAAGAATACAAATCAGCTGTGAAAAGACATGATATATATATTCTTTCATATCAATGCATGTAGATAACTATGGACATCAATTCGATTGGGATAATGTAGAAATTTTTAAGTTGAAGGAACACCGAAAATGCAATCAGAGAATTTCTAGAAGCCTAGTACTCAAATGAATCAATCACTAATTAACAAACATATCTGATGCTTACTAGTGAGTGACTTGATACAGGAAGGAGTTTTCTGGAGTGACTTCTAGTAAGTAAGAAGTCGTAACCATTGAGGTCCATGCAGTCGAGAGTGAGGGGGTGGATTTCCCGCCGACGACATCGGTTGTTGGTGGTTGCGCTAAATGCACCACAAATTGGTAGAAGTGAGAATTTATGGACTGGCCACTGGATTGTGTCCCAGTGGTTTGTAACCAGAAGGTAGCCTAGGTTCGAACCTTGGCGTGGCGGTGGGTGCGTACTGCTGATGATTCTTAAAAAAACTAGGGAGAAACAGTCGGTTGTTCAGTACTCCAGGTGTGGTTTTCAATGTTTCTCTAACTGATAGCAATCCGTGATCAAACTTGTTAAAACAAGTCAAACAAATCCTTACAAATCAACTAACTCTTGAATATTATTACTATTACGAGAAGAATAAATCACATGACAAGTGAGTTCAAATTCCAAGTGGGGAATAAACATGATCAATAGAGATGTAAATTAACAACAAACCATTCACGACAAACAAGGATGTTAATCATGAGATGGAATCATATCATCATTGATGGAGAGAGAGAATTCAAATAAATTCATTCCATACCAAGACGTGAACTGAAGGAATATTGTCTTGAAGGTGGGTGGACAACGATAGCTTCACAATTCAATTAACCAGTTCAGGAAGCACAACTAAATCAAAAATCTGAATAAGGCATTAAGAAGACAAATTTCGCGAGATGATATCATCATTTCGTAGTTTCTTTACAACCACTTTACAACTAACATGGTTAACAATAATAAAATTAAGTTCATGAAAATTACTCAGTTAAATAAAAACGAAAGTACATTCTAATGACCAATCATATTTAGATAGGTCATGTAGTCAGTCCCTGGTAGGCGAAGATTGAAGTCTATTGATTTTTGTACACACAGTTTAGGCTGTATGTGATTAATCCAAAGTGAATTGGCAGAAGTTAGAATTCAAGGACCAATGGATCGGTTCCCAGTGGCTCAATGGTCTACGAGCTCGCTTTGTAACCAGAAGGTCCTGGATTCGAACCCCAGTGGATGCGTAAAGATGAAGTGTCCTAAACTAGGACGAAACAGCTGTCCAGTACTCTCAGGCTTTCCGATGGTTCTCTAACTGATGTCAGCTCATGATTAAATCCTCCATGCAACCCAAGGTGCTTCGATCACCTTCAATAACCTGGAATTAGAGTTGTGTGAAATAATTGGGACGACCACATTGGAACATTCTGTTGGTTCTACCTATATAGGTCTCACCGCAGCTGCAGGTGAACTTGTAAATACAGTTTGAAGTCGTCGAAAAGAACATGTTCCAAAATGGCTACTAAATCATTTAGAAAATCGCAATACAATTAATCTGAATAGAAATCCAGCATCATCCATTGCAAAACACTTATTAATGTCAGGAGACAAAATCAATATTAATGACTGTTTCAGAATTATTTCATCACAACTCTAATTGAAGATTATTGAAGGTGGTGATGGAAGCACTTTGGGGGATTAATCATCACATACAGCCTAAACTGTGTGTACAAAAATCAATAGACTTCAATCTTCGCCTACCAGGGACTGACTACATAACCTATTTAAATATGATTGGTCATTAGTATGTACTTTTATGTTTTTTTATTTAACTGAGTAATTGTCATGAACTTTATTTTATTTTATTATTGTTAACCATGTTAGTTGTAAAGTGGTTGTAAAGAAACTACGAAATGATGATATCATCTCGTGGCGAAATTTATCTTCTTAATGCCTTATTCAAATTTATCAAAGGGACTAATTGTTTTAATTAAATCAAAATCATCCACTTGAGCCATAAATGTTCTCTATTATTTCAAAATCTGTTTTTGATCTTAATTTGCCATCTACATACCTCCAACATTTCAATGGCTAAATTTTCCCACCTATCCATGAATATATCTGCCACTATTGGGGATATAGGCGACCTCTCTCGCCCTCAGTTTGTTTGTATATTTTCCCTTGGAATTTAAATACTTTAGATGTCAGACATATCTTCACTTCCAGTAATGGCACTTTGGTTCTAAGTTCAAGTTCTCGGTTAGGTAGGAGTTCGTTTCTGACCGCCTGTATAACTATTATATATCGGTAAATGTGTTTATAAACTGACGATGTCTAAACTAACCATTTTTATCCTCAGTGTTTAATTTTAAATTGCATGAAGGATTTCATCATAAGCTTACATCAGTTAGAGAGCCACTCAATCAAAAAAAAAATCCCTACAAAACCAATACTTGAAAATTAATCTGATGTGCTCACTAGCGACTGGCCCTATTCAGGCAGTTAACCTAGGGATTCTAGTGGGAAGTTGTGACCAGTAGAGTACAGCAGGTTGAAGATGAGGCAGTAACTCATCGAAGAAGACATTGCGAAATGGTAGCGCTATGTTGTGTATGAATTGGCAGAAGTTAGAATTCAAGGACCATTGAATCTGGTCCCGGTGGCTCAATGGTCTACGTGTTAGCTCGCCTTGTAACCAGAAGGTCCTGGTGGGTTCGAACACTGGTGGTGGGCGCGTTACTGATGAAGAGTCCCAAACTAGGACGAAACAGCTGTTCCAGTGATTCATTATCATTAGTGTCGTTGATTGACTATTATTATAATTATTATTATTATAATTCCAGCCGATCCAAATGGAATCCTTCTGGCCAGTGATGTAGCCGCTCGTGGTTTAGATTTAGCCTCCAAGGATACAACAGATGAAACAAGTGGTGTCTCATGGGTTATCCACTTCGATGTACCGCATACAGCTGAATTGTATATTCATCGATCTGGGCGTACAGCAAGAGCAAATCGTCAAGGAACAAGTTTGCTGTTCATTTCACCGAATGAAATTATTCGTTGGCATAAAATTGCTGTTAGCTTGAAAAGAAATAGTAAGTCCGTTGATTTTTTTTTCTTTTATTCATATCAGCTGTGTTTGTATCTCGCTCCAGAAGGAATGCGCATTAGCGTTTGGAACGATCACTGGTAGTCGATATAAGTCTCAATTGGGAACACTATTGCTCGATCACTCGCTCAGTGGACGCCAGTACCAAACAGAAAGAAATGTGCATTCTGAAGGTTACTGGTTAGCAACTAACAACTCGAATCGTGGGTTTTATTTTGTACATGGAACATTATTAGATTTGAACGAAGCAAAAAGCAAAAAAAAAACAGCGGTTTGTTGAGGATGAGGCGGTATTATCAATTATTCTGTCGACTTATCTTCAGCTCCGTTAGCCTGGCTGTCAAAGGTCGGGTATACAATGCTTCGATGCGGGCTGTCCTACTCTACGCCTGTGAAACCTGGCCTCTCCGAGCTGAGGATGTGCGGCGACTCTGCGTGTTCGATCACCGCTGTCTCCACAGGATTGCTTGCGTTCGCCGGCATCGTCGTGTGAGTAATTCTGAGATTCAGCGGCGTGTGTTTGAACACAGTGGAGATCACCATTCATTGAGTGTCGTCATCTGGAAACAGCGGTTCCGGTGGCTTGGACATGTGATGAGAATGTCATCCCAGAGGCCTCCGTACAGGTGTCTGTTCGCTAGCCAGCCCTGCGACGGGATGGAAAAGGCGGAGGGGTGGTCAGTCCATGACGTGGCATCGTGGAATGAAGGATTTTTGTGCTAGATTAGCATAGGTTGGTGTGTCACGAATCCCTGGTTGGGGTCCGCGAGATAGCTCAAATCGATGGGTCGAAACGTTATCGGATTTGGCCAAGAATCGTAATCAATGGAGAACGTGTTGCAATTTCCTTCTTTCTTCCCTTTCCGATGATAGTTAACAAATACTGTTTGCACTTGTCAAGCATAACTGTTTTCCTTCCAGATGAAGTTCTTTATCCGTTCTCTACTTATACTTTTTTTATTACTTTTAATCTATGTTGTTTTATTATTATTGTTTGGCGCATCTTTCTTAGTGCCATACTGTACCAAGTTTTTTCTGCGTTTAAATAATAAATAAGTAAGACCCTAAAAATTCATTAATTTTGTGAGTTTCAACTTAGAACTTAGCAAAAAAATTGCAGCAGTAGACAAATTTGAGAGAGAGAAAAAAGTAGTAACACGCAAAAACATGTTGGTTGTTTAGTGGACATTGAGATCCCCAAAAAGTGAATGGATTTGTGCCAGTTATGGACAACTTATTGTGAGCTATATCTCCAATATTCTGTCTGTCTGTCTTCGACATAGGACTTTGCACAAATGTGCGGAAGTTCAAGTTGCCACACTCCGTGTAGCACGCGAAGCAAGAGAAGAAAGTACAAGAAAAGCATAATAGAAACAGTGAGCAGAGGTGTGAGACAAAGGAATAGTAATAACGAAGAACAAAACAGTTTCACTGGAGATCATAAGTCACAAGAAGTGGATGCATATGCACCAGGCACTGAGAACGATTTTGAGCCATGTCACCAATTGTTTCCAACCATAGATTTTTACCGTCCCGAGGACCCCAACCAGCCAGGAAGTCTACACCTTCCTACGTGACTGGCTTAGACCAACTGTTGTGGATTTCATTGACTGGTAAGGCCAAGTTTTTGTTTGACCGCCGCTAGCTAGTTCTTTTCCAGCCTGACCCTATATCCGCTAACAGTGCTCGTCGAGGGAGGCGATGGCTTGGCGTACGTAACACATGTCCTAACCATCTCAGTCTTTGTAACTTCACGACTTCGTCAATTGATTTCCCCTGTTTACCTAGAACTCGACCGATGCCTAACCTCAATGTTGCTCACCTTATTATGCCACTTTACACGGGAAATAGAACGCAGGCACCTATGATCAAAGACAGCTAATCAGGCTTTTCATGTCTTCCTCCAATAGTCTACAGTGCCATTAGTTTTGAGTGTCGTAAGGATCCCTGTCAGGAAGTCTACACTAATACCAGGTGTTGAATGAACTATCTCTAATTTTTTTTTCCAACCTAATCTGATGTCAGGTATCACTGCTCATCGAAGGCCGCGATAGATTGACGTGCGTAATTCGTGTCCTAACCATCTTATGGATTGACTTACTCTCGTTACTTACTATTCCACGCCTTATCTCAATATTGCTCACCCAATTATGCTACCTGAGACTGGAAATAGAATGCAGACATCTATGATGAAAGAAAGTTTAACAGGCTTTTCATGCCTTCCACTTTTAATGGGAATGTCTCACTCACGGGTATAAAGGATGACGGAGGGAACTGGTGCTGTCTAGTAGACACGTCCTTTGATCTATAGCCTACCACCGGATACCACATCAAATGTAAGGTAATGCTACAGGACTGGACTCTGGACTCCATTGAATCTTAGCTTAGAGATACAAAGGGGGAGTGAAGTTGTAGAGCGTTTTGACCACTTGACTTATATGGAAAGCTGCATCAGTCAGCCCCAACGGGTTGGTCGCTGACGAAATCTCAGCACGGAAAGAGAAGGCTCGTTTGTTATTTATTAAGAGAGCAAAATATTCAGCGAAGAGACTCTTTCCAATAACGAATTTATTATCAAGCTGTACAATCGTATATATATGGTTTTATAAAGAAATTATATCCGGTGAGGGAATCAGGTCAAAGGTGTGAATACATGAAATAATAATAGTAGTAGTATGAAATGCAATCAAAATATTTGTAATTATAATCACAGTTTAATGTCAAGTGGCAAAATAATTAATGTCATATATAGAATAATACATAAGGTGTATAGATTTTGGAAAGGTATACATAATTATAAGATTACTAGACGAATATAAAATGTTACATAACATGGTGTGACATTTGATAAGATAGAATTCAATATTGTAAAAATAAAAAATATAAAAATTAACAACTTTGGGTTTAAAATGACAAGTGGGCCAAGTGGAAAAGACTCAGAGTGAAGCAGTAATAATAATGATACAAATAATCGTAGTAATAAGGGAAAGGTACATAGAATAACTAAATAAACAAAATAAATATATGTCTATCCCTCTACGGCCAAGTCAGAAGTAGGGATTGTACACACTTCTTTTGTACACAAAGGTATCGCTGGCTTAAAGTCATGAATTGCCAAGTCTTCAGCTGTCTTTAGAAGTCTGTAACGAAGAAAACGCGGGAAGTTAGCATGAATTCTGTATATGATCACTTATTAGCCTACTTGCACTATCTCCGGCGTAGAAATCATATCCGGCTGGTTGTCGATCAAAGTCATATGTATCCACATATATATATATATATATATATATATTGTGTGTGTGTGTGTATGGTGATCTCTCTTTCTGTTTGCTCGCCTAGTCTGTGACCATTTCACTTTGATGAACCTGTCACCTTAACAATATATATCCCCCTTATATTATATATAATATGAGTGTTTGTTGACAGTCCGTTGCTTGGTGACATATATCCATATATGGTGGTTGTTGACATGTCTGCTATATTTTGCTATGTATATATGGATCGACACTCCATTATAATTAACCATTCATGTTAAGACTGTCTATTGATTGTTCACACACTTGTCTGGACGGTCATATATATTTCGCTCTCACAATATTGTGTGACTACACTTTGGTGTGATACCACTTATTGCTTCTCCTTGTGTTTGGAAAATAGAAGTATCATCGCAAACCTAGTGGTCTTCTGATTTCCGCCTTCTTGCGTCAGGACTATTAAATTCTCGACCAGTATATAACAATAATTTAGCGACGAGTACATAACACAAAGGACGTGTGTACTGCTCAGCACCGGTTCGCTCCGTTCTCCTTTATAGTTGTGAGTGAGACTTGGCCATTGGAAGTGGAAGACATGAAAAGCCTGTCTATAACTGTCTTTCATCATAGGTGTCTGTATCCTGTATCTCGTGTTTAGGTGACTTGGTATAATATTGAGGTTAAGCGTCAGTCGAATGCTAGATGATGAGGAGGGGAAATCAATCGACGAGGTTTTGAAGCTGTCTGCATCGATTGAGATGCTTGGGAGATGTGTTACACACGCCTAGCAATCGACCGCCTTCCTCAACCCACATTGATAGTTGACTGACGTAGGATCAGTTTGGAAAATAGCGATTTTAGTGGTGGTGAAACGAAAACATTGCTTTATCAGTCAATCAAATCCACAACAGTTAGATTAAGCCAGCCGTTTAGGGAGGTGTAGACTGGCTTCCTAACTGGCTGGTTGAGGTCTTCATGGTGATGGTAAGAATGAGTGGCAGTGGCTGGAGGCGATTGGTGATATAGCTCAGAATCGTTCTCAACCAATAGCACAGATGCATTCACTCTTTGTGATTTATTTATCATATCCAATAAAGTTGTATTGTTCTTCTATATTACTCTTCTTTTTGTCTCATATTTTTGTATATTATCTCTCTTTTGAGTCTCTGTTTACATAAGACAAATCGGCAAAGTTAAACTTTCGACACCACTAACAACCAATCAGCAAACGACCTTAAATGGACCAATCACATTAAATAGGCATATATGATGAATGGAAACGTATATTTTTAGAAAAAAAGCATAAAAAAGGATGAAACGGTTACAAGAGGTATCTTTCTCGAACATGTGAGAGAAACATCTCCCAGTTTAGTATGTGACTGTCAATGGCGAAGTCACACCACATCCTGTACTTATATTCATCTGAATGGCTATAAATGAGATCCTTTTGAGATCCATTTATAGCCCTTATCTTGTTTTTCAATCGGCCCCAAAAACCTTCAGTGGAATTCGTATGAGTCCTCGAAACGGGATCCACCCAGCAAACAAGTGATTTTCTCTACTTTCCATGAAGCAATATCTCTGCAATGCTGGTACCACTAAACTGTTAAGACGAGACTATTCTCAGTCTAGGCAGCTGCTGCTCTCACCGGCTGTTTCAGCACCCAGTAGTTGCAGATATACAAAATCTGGGTTAGGGAGATATGCGACCTAGCGAAAAAAGTTCCTACGAAATATTAAAATTATCAGCTTACCCTCTATAATGTTAGCACGCTTCAAACATATAGCACAACGATGAACAAATCCATCAGTTGATCTGCTATAGCTTTTCAAAGTCATGATACCAACACAAGAACAAGTTCGCTCCTTCCGGAGCAACCCTAAATCCAGGCAATACTGGACACACTGTCCTCCTCGAATTGCAACTGTAACCTTGTAAGTTCACGCATTAGAAATGAATCAAGCGCTCTACAACATTGAACTACATTCGTGAATCTCATTGGATAATTCGCTAATTGGTAGTTGGTGGTGTCGAAAGTTAAACTTCGCCGACAAATTCAAAACACATTAGGAATAATTAGACAAAGCGATTGTCATTTCAATAGGCCAGCCTTGGAGCTATGCTACTTGCTCATATTACATTCCATACAAAACGGTCTATGATTTTGGTGTATTTCTGTTTTGTCATTCATTTCATTTGCTCATGTAATTGGTTGGATGTATTTTAACCACCCCTCCCCCCAACTGAAAGCTACTACCTTGACGTAATGATCGGGCTTGCATATAATGCCATCATCTGTTATTGAAATACACTAGCTAGAACTAATATTCCTGCAGGTCTTGTTTTGCCAGAACATTTTCTGGGATGGGTTATTGGTTTTACACTAAAAGCATTTATCATCATAATCGAAGTCGTTGACACGTTGTTCGGGGTTTGTGGGAAAAGTTGCATTGCTGGCGAATAGGAATATAACAACAGTAAGTTATGTTTCCCTCACTTGACCAGTAAGCCAACTGTGCTGCCCTTCTGCTCTACCCTACGGTGTGGGTTGGGGGGAGTCGGAAAAGCTCGCTCCGAAAGTTGTACATCCTGACTGACGTTGTGGTTGCCTTTAGTCAGTGGTAAGATCTTTATACGTCCGGAGCTACAATTCCAAATGTGACCGTATTTGACTGGTTTTATGGAGTTGTCACCTGGGCGGCTCCGTAGTCACCCGACACTTATGCACCTTCTGTTTCACGTAGTCCAGGAAGAAATCAACTTCCACGCTACTGGGGAAGTGATATCACATTAGTTTGTTTATTAGGTATATCACACACAGTGATTAAACAGTATTATTATTAACTGGATGACACAGTTTCGAACACAATTTACTGATTGTTCATAATCATATCGTCAACTATATAATCGCACACGACTTCGAAACTTGAGTTTCATAGTTTTCTTTGTTCTCTCCTATTTGTCGTCGTTGGGATAGTAGAATTTTCCAGATGTCCGGGTGGACACATGTGTTTGCAGTTGATTCGATAAACAAAGCTTCCGTTATCAATCTCTCTCTCTCTTTCTCTCCATTCACCCTGCTGTTGTATTAGATTTTAAAGCTTTCTATCATCTTATCCCATCCAGCCTATTTTATGTTTAGGTGTGTGTAATTGCATGTAGTGAGTGGTATAGCTGAACTATTCTCTAGATTTCTTATCTTATTCGGGTCAACTAATCTAGATCTTACTGCTGGGTTTTTATGTTTGGCTAGTCTGACTGACCCCGTTCTACTACTTTGAATGGGATGGGACAAAATGACAGTTTTGAAATCTAATGTCACAGGCTTAATGGAGGGAGAGATTGATAACAGAAGCTTTGTTTATCGAATCAACTGAAGAGGATACATGTAATAGGAATGATTCAACACCCATCTACCCAGATATCTGGAAAATTCTAATACCCCTACGACGACAAATAGGAGAGAACAAGCAAGACTATAAAGCTCAAGTTTCGAAGTTGTGTGTGATTATATAGTTGACGATATAATTATGAACAATCAGTAAATTGTGTTTGAAACTTTGTCATCCAGTAAATAATACTGTTTCTTCACTGTGTGATGCATCTAATAAACAAACTTATATGGAATTACTTACTACCACAATGCCCATATATTAATATGGGGAAGTAATAATCGCGTAAGCGTCGGTGGTACAGCGGTAGAATGCTCGCCGACCAGGCCACAGGTGGTCCGGGGTTCGATCTTCGGCCACCGATGCACTGCTTTACCTCCCTCGCTAAGCCAGTAATAAAGCTGGTAAAGAGGAACACGTTGGGTCAAGTGAAGCTAGCAACCCTATCATCCTGTAAAAAATAAACACCATTGCTACAGAAACTTCAAGCCTCTAGGTTGAAGCCCCCCTGGGGACGTAAAGGAAAGATTCTCAGTCACAACGTGTATAATAGAAGTTTCACTAGGCACATAGACTTTCAACGTCATATAGAACTTTTCTTTTTTTAACGAATCTGTGCTTTTTTAACTTTTAATTTATTCCCCCCGCACCCCTCTTTCTCTTCGTGTTCCTGCTGTATAGATCCAGAACTAGAAGATTTTGCCGTCCAACCGTCGAACATTCATTTGACTATCTGTGAACAAATTGTCCATCTGGCTAAACAGATTGATATACAAGTGCATAGAAATTCACGGAAAACAGCCAATGAAAATTGGTTTGCTAAAGCAGCTAAAGATGCTAATATCCTATTGGATGATAACAATTCTGGTGACAGTGATAGTGAAGGAGGAAGAGGGTACAGTGAGAAGTAAGTTAGCATTGTTTTTGCTTTATGTGATCACATGATTATTGTGACTCAGTGCTAGTTCAATGGTGCAGTTCGCAGGTAATCAATCCTCTAGAAATCTGGTTTCTTCTTCATGTATTGGATGGACTAGTCAGTCAAACGTTTTATGTGTAGGTGGTTTTAGCCTGCATCCTAAGTTATGGTGATATAAGTGTGCAATGAGCTTTGAACTCACGACACTTCAGCTGTAGCCAATGAACTGCATCTTCGATAGCCCAATGACGATCTCTGACTGACTGAGTGACAAAATTTCAGTGTAGAACTCAGCACAAAAATGCTCTGGATTTCAAGTTGCCGCACAGAGCATAATCTCCTAGCTCTATAGTATAGAGTCTTAACTAGTCCGCGTTTAAAGCTGTTTGGACAAAAACTATTAAAATGTAAGTATTATCCTTTTCAAGTAGGATTTCGATAAATTGACTTCTGAAGACTATCGTCTTCTAGGCGGGTTGCATGGCAATGTCGAAGAAGTGGAACTTTTTACCATTTTCATATTCCTTAGTAAACTCAATATTTTGTATGTGCATCATTGAATAATCTGAGTAAGTTGGTAGGGGAAGCATGACTTTCATTGTTGCACACTACAGATGTGTCATTGACGTATCGATAGAGTAGGAAGACGTTTCGTCGATTGCATGCTTCAATTTTGTTCTCTCGAAGTTGAACATAAATATATCTGCTATTTATAAATATTTATTTCTTGATTGATTTTTGTTTAAAAATGAACTCTGTGTGGGTAAGTATGTTAAAAACTGTTTCAGTAGATATACTTGATATTGACTTTGGGCTGTAAGCAGCTGATGATGAGCAATGACGGTACCATTTTATTCTACAAAAACTATCATTGTTCTTGCTTTATTCAAATTCATCAAGGGGAATAAATGTATGAAATAAACAAGTTAGTCAACAAATTGTAAAAGTAGAGGTTGAATGATTCTAGATTGTCTTAGCTTCTTAATGTAGAGATTAGGTTAGAACAGAACATTTTCTTGGAGATCGATAAAATATGGGACCTGTGCACAAAGTACAGTCAGGCGATAAGACTATACACTTTACCTTTTTACAGCTTTCGATTACTGTTGGTAAATTTCTTGCAAGAGTACATATAACAATTACAAAATCCTAAAATCTCAGGCGTGCGTCAGTGACATAGAGATTAGGACGCTCGCTGACCATGCACATGTTCCGGAGTTTGATTTCCGGCTGACGCACTCATTTACCTATCTAAGGCGGAAATAATGCTGGTAAAGAGGAAAGGTTTGGCGTGAGGCTAGCAACCCCATCCTGTAAAAATAAACACCACTGCTACAGAAACTTCAAGCCACTAGCTTGAAACCCACTGGGGAACGTGAAGGAAAAAAAAAACTCTCAGACCAATACTTAGTCTCATCAGCTGCGTGCAACCGAAAGAAAGGAATTAAGCTTGTGTATAGAAGAATTTTAACATACTTGCAAGTGTTACGTGATACCAGTTGACAGGAGATTCCAAACTTATGTAGCCTTTACTCATAAATTTCAAGTTTCAACGAAAAATATTGAATACTCGGTTACAAAAGGGAAAGAGTTACATAGTAAGGATAATGAGTAGCTAATAAATTGAGTAATAATATGGTGAGTTCAACTCAAGTTATAGAAACAAGAGACGAGCTAAATTACGTAATAACGAAGGGGGGGTTGGAGGAAGAGGTTCAATACAAACATTACGTAGTCCCAGTGGGGAGAGAGTAGATAAATCCAGTTATCAGGCTTTCAGGTGTTTAATGTCGATTTCTTCGACAAACTTGAGGAGAATCGCACTGTTTTTGTGTCTTTGCATAATTCTAAAGGATTTCTTGATGTGTCCACCTCATCATACACATGATCTTCCATATTTATTTTTATTTTATTTTTTTTAATTTTTGATTACAGCTTGACCCCCACACCGTACTTTTGGTAGAAGTATGGAGTTTTCAGCGTGTATATCGGTAGCCCCAATGTTGCAGGCCGACCATAGATATCAGGTGTGCGTCGGCGAGGGCTCGAACCCCGGACCATGTGCATGGTCAGCGAGAGTCCTAACCACTGTGCCACCGACGCACATATTGATGAGATGCTCGGAAAGGGCACTATTATAAGCGTCTGTTCCTTTGAGAAATCATAAGCTTTTGAAATAATAGAGAAGATTTGTAGCTCAGGTGGATGATTTGCAATTAATAGTGTTCTCTGAGCTAGTTGGTTTAGTTGAGGAGCTTTCGTCGTCCCCCTGCTGGACAACATCTTCAGTGCAATATTTAGCATAAAATGAAATGATTTAAATTTTTTTCATGAGTGATATAATTGCGTTTGAAACCGTTTCATATAGATATATATTATTATTATTTATTTATTTAAACGCATAAAAACTTGGTACATTATGGCACCAAGAAGGATGCGCTACACAATAATAATAAAAACAACATAGATCAAAAGAAAAAAAAGAAAGAAGAGAAATATATATATATATATAAGTAAAGAACGTATAAAGACCTTCATCTGGAAGGAAAACAGTCATGCTTAACAAATTCAAACAGTATTTGTTAACTATCATCGGGAAGGGAAGAAAGAAGGAAATTGCAACACGTGTAATAGCACGCGATAAGTTTCATTGATTGTTTGTTGCTTCATTCAATTCATTGTGTGAGGGCTGAGATACTGCCCGGGCGCCCAGGCTGAAGCAGGTGGTTTTATTAAGGGACCGCTCCCCCTCGAGCCTTTGACTTGGAGTCTAATCCGCAAGGCAGCAAAGCAGCGTCAGGAGCTGCATTCCTATGGTTTCCGGTGACCCATATGGATTCATACGTCATTTGATCCGATTGGATACTGGAGCCCATGTACCCCATGGTAACTGCTTTTAGTTTAACCGCTATCCAGAAAACCTTCCTGACATGGTAGGATCTGCAGGGACAGAGTCCCAGTCAGTTTAGCATGTTGGGTCATCACGGTATTGAAGCCCGACCACCACCACGACAAGGTAGCAGTTATTGTCCGGGGATATAAATATAGCATACAAGCCAGTCAAATCGTTTAATTCCATATTATGCAAAGCGAAAGATCCAACAGAAAAAGGAGATAAGATAAATACCATTTACAAAATAAATTGCCTGTATGAACTGTAAGAGGCATTACATCGGCCAAAATGGGCGTCCGCTTCTAATCAGAATCCAGGATCACAAATCAGCTGTGAAAAGACACGATATATATTCCTGTTTCATATCAATGCACCTAGACAATTGTGGACATCAGTTTGATAACTGGGATAATGTCGAAATTTTAGACAGAGGGAACACCAAAAGTGCAGTCAGGGAATTCCTAGAAGCCTGGTACTAAAACGAATATGCGATTAACAAACATGTTAATATGGAGCAAATATACCAACTAATAAAAAGTAAATCATGTGAGCAGAAAGTTTAAAATCCAAGTCAATAGAAAATGGTCAATACATTTGGTTAAAGATGGTTACCGGGAGACGCAATTCTATCGATCATGAAAAAAATTTAAATCATTTCACTTCATGCTAAATATTACGCTGAAGATGTTGTCCAGCAGGGGGACGACGAAAGCTCCGCAAGTAAACCAACTAGCTCAGAGAACACTATTAATTGCACATCATCAGCTTTTTGGTACATGTTCAGAAAGTCGGGTGGTGTGCCCTTCCTCTGCCCTTCTGTCAATTCACTTCATCGATGAAGTCATCTTCAGAGACTGTAGGATTGTGTTTGCAATATTTTTTCATGTTGTCTGTATTTTCTGGTGGAATAGCGATCTGGTACATAGAAAGAGCGAAAGAGAGAGAGACATTTATTGTGTAGACGACTTTTCAAGTATTGGCTTTTGTATAGATTTTTTTTAATTGATATCAGTTAGAGAACCATTGGAAAACCTGCTGGGGAGTACTAAACAACTGGCTGTTTCGTCAGCCTAGTTTGGGACTCTTCAGCAGTATTATAACCACCTCCAGGGTTCGAACCCAAAACCTTCTGGTTACAAGGCGAGTCAGCTCATAGATCAATGAGCCAATGGGACTTGATTTTATGTTCAGCCCATGAATTCTGACCTTTGCCAATTCATGCACAACATAAGGCAACCAAAAGTCGCAATGTCTTTTTCGATGAGTTACTGCGCCATCTTCAACCTACTGCACCCTACTGGTCACGGCTTTTCACTAGAACTTCAGATGCTCACTAGCGACTGGCACTGGGGTTCTAGCGGGATGCCGTGACCAGTAAGAGGGTGCATCAAGTTGAAGATGAGGCAGTAACTCATCGAGGAAGATATTGTGAAGTGGTCGCGCTATATCATGCGTGAACTAGCAGAAGTTAGACTGCTTTTAACAGTCTGTATATTTCTGAGTAGTAGTAGTAGTTAATTAATTGATTAACTGATTCAAACAACGTTTACCCCTGTTGATTTGTCTATTTCTTTTTATCTTCTGTATAGAAAAAAGTCAAAAAAGAAGAAGAATTCAGATGATACTAAGCCATTGAAATTACAGCTACGTCAGGTAAATCATTGGGGAGTTATTATTTCCCCTTTTTTGCATTTTTCTCTCCTTTTTTTCTGTCTTTGCCCAACAACCATGGACCTTGGATTCAGCAACACACCTCCACTCTGTGTTCTATTTTCTTTTTGTCCTCTTCAGCTGGTTAGCCCATAATCTCTCATCTCCTCAATGTCATCCTCGCACTGACACTCCACTCGCCGCTTCCCATTGGGATTCCACTTGAATGATGGCCTGGTTAACGTGCAGTGTCACTCGATGGCATCCTGAGTGGCATATGCCCGATCCATGCATCTCCATCTTCTCTTACATATTTTATTGAGCGGTCGGTTTTTGGTTGGTTTGTTGCCAGCCAGCTGACGTTTATTTGATCTTCAGTATGGAGCCAGCCAGCCAGTGAAGTGGACAGCTGTTAATAAAAGTCTGGTACTAGCTATTGGAAATCTTTTTCGTTGCATGCAACTTTACGACTCATATAGAGGCAGTGATTGACTGACTGACTTGACATTTGTGTTGAATGGAATCCGAAGCTTGTTCTTTATATTTTGAGGTGGAGTGAAGTACAGAAGATTTCCAGATTGGGTTTCAGGTTGATGAAGGCATGTGTTGCCTTTCCAATTTTGGCTGGCTGACTGGCTTTGACATCTTCATCCGTTCCCCACCCCCCACCCCCGCTTGGTATTGAAACGATGCTTCCTATTATTATTATTATTTCAGTGAAGTAAACACTAAGTTGTATTGATTTGGTTGATAGTGACTAGCGATAGTATAAGAATAAAACCTGTGCACTCTGGTAGTGTGTAATTCCATTATGGGTAAATTTTGTTTTGATAAAGTCTCACAGTGTTGTTATACAGTAATGTTTACTGATGACCACACGCTTCGAGCACAATTTATTGCCACTCATAATCATATCAAGGTACTCACTCACACGACTTCCTGACTTTATTTATACGATTCCATTATTTTTCACTTGATTTGATTGGTAATAGTATTTTGCATATTTCAGATATGAGTGATGAGATAGTTCCCTTGATGAGAGGTTGATCACCCACTTTGTTCTGTCGATAGAGGATGTAGCATTGATATCAGTTTCATTTGTTGTGTTCTTTTCTTCTATTAGTTTGTTGAATTTTTTGATTTGCATGATTTTTGATTTTCTTAATGCGGATTCTCTAGCTTTGTTGGATGTTTCAACAACAATTATATAATCTTTGTCATTGATCATACATTTGAGTTTGTGTTTAAGTTTTTCAATTTGATTTCGTATATTATTTAGTTTTACAGTAACTCTATGTAATTCTTCTCTTAGACATAATTTACTGACATGTTCTGCGGCTGATGTTACTTTGTTTGAAGTAATTGGAGTACGTAGACGTAAATATTTTGGAATTATATGGCTTTTTAAACATTGACTGTTAAAAATCCAATGATTTGTAAATCTTGCTTCAGTTTGACTAAGTCGTGTGAGTTTGTTGATAGGCTTCCTAGTAGGAAGACCATATGTACCATTAATATAAGAATAAAACTTGTGCACTGTGGTAGAGTGTAATTCCATGATGGGTAAATTTTGTTTTGATAAAGTCTCACAGTGTTATACAGTAATGTTTACTGATGACGTTTCGAGCACAATTTATTGCTCATAATCATATCAAGGTAATCACACGATTTCCTCAATTCATTTATATAGTTCCATTGTTTTTTTTTTTTTTTTCACTTGATTTGATTGGTAATAGTATTTTGCATATTTCAGATATGAGTGATGAGATAGTTCCCTTGATGAGAGGTTGATCACCCACTTTGTTCTGTCGATAGAGGATGTAGCATTGATATCAGTTTCATTTGTTGTGTTCTTTTCTTCTATTAGTTTGTTGAATTTTTTGATTTGCATGATTTTTGATTTTCTTAATGCGGATTCTCTAGCTTTGTTGGATGTTTCAACAACAATTATATAATCTTTGTCATTGATCATACATTTGAGTTTGTGTTTAAGTTTTTCAATTTGATTTCGTATATTATTTAGTTTTACAGTAACTCTATGTAATTCTTCTCTTAGACATAATTTACTGACATGTTCTGCGGCTGATGTTACTTTGTTTGAAGTAATTGGAGTACGTAGACGTAAATATTTTGGAATTATATGGCTTTTTAAACATTGACTGTTAAAAATCCAATGATTTGTAAATCTTGCTTCAGTTTGACTAAGTCGTGTGAGTTTGTTGATAGGCTTCCTAGTAGGAAGACCATATGTACCATTAATATAAGAATAAAACTTGTGCACTGTGGTAGAGTGTAATTCCATGATGGGTAAATTTTGTTTTGATAAAGTCTCACAGTGTTATACAGTAATGTTTACTGATGACGTTTCGAGCACAATTTATTGCTCATAATCATATCAAGGTAATCACACGATTTCCTAAATTCATTTATATAGTTCCATTGTTTTTCTCTTGATTTTCACTTTATTTGATTGGTAATAGTATTTTGCATATTTCAGGTATGAGTGATGAGTCATTCCTATTGCATGTGTTGGGTGTAGACTCGATGAACAAGGATTCAGTAATCAACCTCTCTCTCCACCTACCTACCTAGATTACTTTTTAGAATTTTACCTCTATCCCACCCTATTGTGTGGTTGTGTGTTAGCGCATGCATTGCAATTGCTGAGCTTTTTTCTAAATTACTTATCTTCTCGGATGGGGTCAACCATTCTTACCTTAGCTAAATTCTTATGTTCCGACAATCTGACTACCCCTTACCTACTAGTTTGACCTATGTAGTTGACCTAATTCACAGTCATTGCATGGTATTTTGTAAATAATATTATTTTATCTAATTGGGTCAACTGGCAGGGTCCTTTAACCTACAGAGCTTGTCCCTGAGCGAGTTTGTAGGTTTAAATGCCACCCTAATTCCTACTTTATTCAGAATCCTACGTAGTGGCTCAGATGTCCCCTCTTTATATGATATAACTGTGGATGACTTATATTCTCTCTTATTCATGTTATTATTACTAGTTTCACAATTATTTTTGTTTTGTTTTTGGCCTTTAATGATCTTCCTAGTGAATTTTATAGGATAGTTATTTAACACCAACGCTTCTTCTATCTGTTTTAATTCATTATTTAGGTCTTTTTTTGTGCTACTTAGTGCCACTGCTTGGTTTGTTAAACATTTAACTAAGCATGCCTAAGTAAGTAGCACAAAAAAGACCTAAATAATGAATTAAAACAGATAGAAGAAGCGTTGGTGTTAAATAACTATCCTATAAAATTCACTAGGAAGATCATTAAAGGCCAAAAACAAAACAAAAATAATTGTGAAACTAGTAATAATAACATGAATAAGAGAGAATATAAGTCATCCACAGTTATATCATATAAAGAGGGGACATCTGAGCCACTACGTAGGATTCTGAATAAAGTAGGAATTAGGGTGGCATTTAAACCTACAAAACTCGCTCAGGGACAAGCTCTGTAGGTTAAAGGACCCTGCCAGTTGACCCAATTAGATAAAATCATATTATTTACAAAATACCATGCAATGACTGTGAATTAGGTCAACTACATAGGTCAAACTAGTAGGTAAGGGGTAGTCAGATTGTCGGAACATAAGAATTTAGCTAAGGTAAGAATGGTTGACCCCATCCGAGAAGATAAGTAATTTAGAAAAAAGCTCAGCAACTGCAATGCATGCATTAACACACTAAGAGAGGGTTAAAATTCTAAAAAGTAATCTAGGTAGGTAGGTGGAGAGAGAGGTTGATTACTGAATCCTTGTTCATCGAGTCTACACCCAACACATGCAATAGGAATGACTCATCACTCATACCTGAAATATGCAAAATACTATTACCAATCAAATAAAGTGAAAATCAAGAGAAAAACAATGGAACTATATAAATGAATTGAGGAAATCGTGTGATTACCTTGATATGATTATGAGCAATAAATTGTGCTCGAAACGTCATCAGTAAACATTACTGTATAACAACACTGTGAGACTTTATCAAAACAAAATTTACTCATAATGGAACTAGCAATGGTATGTCTAATGGGCGTTTCATCCTCTTTTGAACTCCTCATCTGTGTGGGTGTGTGTGAGTGTGATAGCAGAAAGAAAGATATCTCATGGACGTCTTCCAAAGAATCGATATCCATGGAACTTCATCAAAAGACACATGCCCCCAAGCCAACCTATCAAAGCGAAAACCCCTGAGGAAAGCACAATATATAAAGGACATCTCAGAAATGACTGCAAGACTCTTCAAACCTTTAGGAATCCCCACTGTCTACTAACATGTCGGCTGAGTAAGGAGAATATTACCATTCACTGAGATTCAGGTGTATCTTGATGATGAATCCGAGAGGGGGCGAATCGCTCCCCTAAATGCTACACCTATTCATCTTTCATCGAAATAACACCAGGTTGACCTTAAGGCATCATCTTATCATTCCTGTCATGATCCAACATATCAGTAGACACTGAACATTGTGTTTCAACAGAATTAATCTACGAATAATCGGGAAAATCATTTAACGCCCCTTAATGCTTTAACAGTGCTGAGATATCTCGATCTCACTCCCTTTGAAGTGTTTGATCGGATCTAGTATAAGAGTTCAAAGGATTTCTTAATGAATAGTTCTTAGTGTCTTGAGTTTTATGCGATATACTTCTACTGGTGTGTGAAAGACACCTACCTACTTTATTCCTTTGTTAGTCAAGGCTGGATAAGACTTTCGAGCGCGTTTTTCTAGTGGGCGCTTGATATAGCCAATGTTTTCAATATCAACTTGTCTCCTGAAAGATTCTGCGACTGCTGCTGTCGAATCTGGAATTTGAAGGTGATACTGAGGTGGGAATTCTCCGAGTACGGTTTTTAAGATCTTTTTCAGGAAAGCATATTTCTAAGCTGGCCTACGAATAACACTCTCTTGCAAGAAATTAATTGGTCAAAATGTGAATAATGGATCTGTAGCAAAGTTAAACTTAAAGCACTACTAACTACCAATCAGCGAACGACTTTCAAGCAACCAATCACATGAGAGAGAGAATTTTGACTAAGGAAAAAACGTATATTTATGGGGAAAAATGTATGAAAACTGCATAAAACTGCTACATAGGGTGTATTTCTCTAACATGTGACAGAAACGTCTCCGAGTTTAGCATAGGAGTGTCCAGACAAAAGTTACACCGCATCCTGTACATATATTCATCCAAGTGAGATCCATTTATAGCCCCATCCCTGTTTTTTAATCTTTCCTAAAATCCTTCTATAGAATTCATGTGTGTGTGTGTGTGTGTCCCTGTAATGGGATCCGCAAAATCACTAGAATGGTTCATTCTGTGATGAATATATGCAAAGGTTGGCAACGAGTTATAAGCTTCTCACTCATCCAAGTGTTGTGCGACGACACCTCTGTCTAACAACGAAGTAACTCTCTCCATTTTCCATGAGGCGATATCTCTGCATTGCTGGTACCATTGAACTGTTGACACGAGGTTATTTTCAGTTTTAGCAGCTGCGCCTCTCACAGGCGCAGTAATTACAAATATACAAAATCTGGGTAAGGGAGAGATGTGACCCAGCAAAAAAATGTTCCTACGAAATGTTAAAATCCACCAGCTTACCTCCCCTAATACCAACTCGTCTCAAGCAAATTGCACAATGATGGACATATTCATCAATCGATCGGCTGAAGCTTTTTAAACTGTTGGATATCCTTACATAAACAAATCCTCTCCTTCCTAAGCAACCTTAAACCAGGCAATACTGCCCAACCTTATCGTCATCGAACTGCAAAGCGTAACTTTGTTAGAACAGGCATTTGATACGAATCAAGCGGAATACAACCTTGAACTCACGTGCGTGCGCCTCATTGGACTATTCGAGGTCATTCGCTGATTGGTAGTTAGTGGTGCTTAAAGTTTAACTTGGACCAGATCTGTTTTATAGTTCGTTTATATGATGATGTAATACTATCACTCATAGTAGTCAATCCTATGCGTTTCTTAGTTGATGCTAAACAACCAATCATATTAAAAGAACCTCAAAACTCGTATTATGGATAGACAGTTGAATTCTTCTGTATATACTGTGAGAAAGTTTCACAGATCTATACAGAACTAAAAGACCAGATCATGAAGAAACTATGGTGGGAATATACACACACGGCATTCACAATTTCTGATGTTGTGATTATGTGACCTGGCAGCCTGTTCGAATTTTCGGGCCAGCTATTATACTATCTACATATTGCATCCAATCTGCCGTCTACCCACATTTATTTATCACCTACATATGAATTCTAACAGGACCATTTACGGCTCGTAACTTTATTAATCATTTACGACCAAATGACTTTCATATTCCAAAGAAATCAAGGAGGAAGCATCGTAGTGGTTGGCAGAGAGCTCTCGAACGTACACCAATACACTTAACTACGGTCCCTGTCATAATGAACACAAACTACCGCTCTCTGCCTAAAAAGATAATGTACTTACAATCTCTGATGTCCACTGACACTTATCATAACACTGCCATAATCATATCACAAGAAACGTGGTTACATGAACTGTATGATGAGAATCTTTATTTTTATTTTTGATTTGCAGCTTGATTCCATACTGTATTTTCGGTACAAGTATGGAATTTTCAGCATGGATATCGGTAGCCCAAATTTTGCAGGCCGACCATGGATATCAGGTGTGCGTCGGCGCGGGCTCGAACCCCGGACCATGTGCATGGTCGGCGAGAGTTCTAACCACTGTGCCACCGACGCACACTGAAGGACTTTATTTTATTTCCACAAGACCGTATATGTTGTATTAAGAAAAATGGTGGTGGAGTTGCAATTTTTATCCACTCCAAATGGTCTGTTTCTAATAATGTCTGCTTCTCCTTCTCAAATGACTTCATTGACTGCATTACTGTCAAATGTCGTCCCAAATATAAACAAATCTTTGTTGTAAACATGTACATTTCTCCTAGTTGCTCTCCATCTGATCTACCTAATTTTGCTGATGAATTCACCATGTTTGCCGCTGCCAACTTCAACAACTCTCTATCTGTTATTACTAGGGATTTCAACTCCTCAGATTGCTCCTTCCGTGAAGCACTTGGTCATACAAATATAGCCAAATTTCCCACTCGACTTGACAAAACACTCGATTTAGCCAGGACCTCCTGGTTTGAAGGCAGGTTCTTAGGCTATTTATCTATCATTCAGAAGTCGGGTCCCAGTGGCTTAATCCGTCTTACAAGTTTGCCTTATAACTTGGAGATGCTGGGTTCGTGCCTTGCCTGCCGATGGCTGGCTGACAAAACAACCAGTTGTCTCTTGAGAATAACTTTCTGTTGTAACAACCACTTTTAACCCATATGTTCTTCAATTTTTATTCATTTGCTCTTCTCTTTATTCTAGCTGATTCATGCTTCTCGAGATAAATTGTTGAAAAACACTAACGGACAATTACAGCAACCTGTCTATGGAAAACTTCAAACTCTCTCCAAAGTGAAATTGTTAAAAGAAGTTTGTGTATAATCCAATCCAACTAGCTAGCTAACTAATTGACGTTATTCTATTCCCAAATGTGTTGTATTGTATTGCCTTTGTAAATATTTTCATAAATATATAACTCGACTGTGTTTAGACTGGCATTAAGTTCAACTTTGTAAAGCTCATCATTTTTTTTATAGATCATATAGATCCATTGAATCACTGAAGTTGTTTTTTAGTTGGTCACAGATTGAAGTGAAGATGAGGCTCACACTAGCCTGAAGAATAGTACTAACTGTATAGTAGAGAAGCAAGATGAGGATGGTGATGTGAGTAAAGGAGAATGGTGCTCAGGAAGGCTTCGTGTGCTTTTCGATGTGTCTGTGTGTGTGTGTGTGTGGGCGGTTGTTACTTCCTGGCTGCCTACAACGTGGAAGTTCATTGATTCTTCAACTACCTGAAATAGAAACAAAATTAGTGTTACGTGACCGCAGAGTCCAGAGGACAACCGCATTAGGCCGGTCAAACACGGCCTGTATGAACTTATTTCTTGGATTTGTTCTTTATTAGTAAACTTACCGCCGGTTACGGACAACTGTATATAGGGTAAGTCGAGGTGTACAATTTTTCCGGTCGACATTTTCTAACCCCTCCTTCCGAAAGGGACAGACAGCATAACTAGCTGCTTGTTCGCTCCCATGCCTCTGTGTCAGAATCAATCACACAGGAACACAAAGAAACACACACACACAAGGCGGTTGTCCGAGTAAATGCAGTATATTTCTCCGAGGAAATGTGTAGCGATACAATGAAATAGACAGTGAGACTAACAGCCAACCAGCCAATCAGCCTCTCTATCAGTCAATACGGATAGAATGCACACTGTAGTGTACACATTTCAAATGACTCGAATGGAAGACATTGATTGTGTTATGTTGTGACTGGCGTGTTCCAGTGAAGTTAGGCGAATAGACGAGGTGAGAAAAAGAGGCAGGTGGATAGGTGCACAGACAGGCATACAGGCAGGCAGACAACAAACTAACAAAGATTTAGGGTTTCCCATTGAAATGTTCGAAGGAGATGATTTGAATTGGCTGGCCTGATGTACTGATTGGATTTCGTCTGGTGTCAATCGTGATGATCGTAGTGAGAGTGAGCTGTGATGTGGTGATGATTGAAGTGAAGATGACATTAACTTTGGTTCTGCGTGCGTGTGTGTTCTAGTGGAGAGGGAATCAGTGAGTGAGTGGGTGGGTGGGTGTTTGAGGGAGAGAGGTGGATGGATGCATTGTAGGCGTGTGTGTGTGTGTGTTGTGTGTTGTGCAGTTAATGTTTGACAGGAGGATGATGTTTGTCTGTTGGTGATATTGTTGTTAGTGAGGAGTGAGTTGTGTGTGTCAGCGTATCGATCGGAGGAGTGATTGAGTGAGGTAAGCGTGTGTATGTGTGTGTGTTTTGTGTGTGATGGTAGAGTGATAGTTGTATGGAGCGAGAGAATGAGAGAGAAGTGAGGGTGAATGAGCTGGTGTATATGTGTAGATATATATATATATTTGTGTATATAGGCGGGAAGAAGCGAGAAAGTGTCTGAGCGGATGACTGACTGGGTGTCTGTGTCTCATCTAGTGGATAGCGAACACAGCATCAAAGTAGATGAGTCATTTACAGTTGCGTATCGGGTACCGAACAATCTCCCCAAAGGCACACGATTACGCCTCCTAGCCATAGCTGAGGCTTTAGAGATTAATAGAGAAAGACCAGATCTATGTGTAGAGAAAAAACTTATTCACTCTCTTTGTCTACCCTGGCCCACTATAAGGTCACCAGGATCATAATCTTTTCGTACTATTATTATCATTATTATTATTTTGTGATATCATGTCTTTATTATCCATTTCTCCACCCAGTTTATTTCACCTCATTGTTACCCTTATTATTTTTGTCAACCTTTATGATTTTATACTAAACCTACCAATTCTGTAGCATTTTATTACAATTTACAATTTAGCCTCTTTATTTATTTTATCATTAGACATTATCGGTCAGCCCTCACATCCAGTGCCTCATTTTTTAACGTGTCTTTACATGTATTTTGTGGTTATCGCATTTTCTCACCCCAAAGGCACTTGTATTCTGTTAACTATAAAACTACACTATATCACCTAATTGTTCATTCACACTTCATCACATTTTTCTGACTAAACACCCTATACACATTTAATTGACTATGCTAACTAATGGACTATCATCTCAACTTACACATGCACCCCGATACAGTTTCTGATATTATTTTCATTTGCCCTTATTGGCGCTATATGTACTCTATTATTCATGGATTTATAACTGTAGAGCCTGAAGAAGAAGTTATCGAAACCACAATTGTTTGCTCAAAATCTTGTTTTAATTTTCATGACATTTTGAATTAAATAGGTAACCAGAAAGTGATAATCATATAAGAGTCTATCCAAAACTAAGGAGGCTTGAGTACATTGGCTAGTTGATGTTATATATTTGAAAGAACTGAGTGTAGTTTAATAAATAACATTTAGAAAAGAGGCGAGAAAAGTGAGATGTAACATAAGGGAAGCTAAGCCATAGACATTGTGTTTTAATAGCAACATCCAACATATATCTTTAAAATGAACAAAGCTATTTTGTATGCAGAGTTTATTTATGTTTGAAAATACTCATTTCTACAGCTTCTGCAATTCAAGGGAATCTCAGTCTTTAAGTTTTTTCAAAAGATTCTCACGTGTTTTAAATTATTATTCCTTTTGGGTTCCGATTGGAACGAAGGGTTTCAACAACAAATCTCCACTCCACCCTGTTATTAGGCAGTTCTTTTGAACTGACTTCATGATCGTCCATAAGCCTACATATGCTGATCACACGAACTCTACCATGTCACGCTTGGATCGATGCCCAAATTGTCGTTCTCCATTCAGGTTATACTAGTCCAACAGCCTTATGGGTATCCAGTCAATCTCCATTTCTTCGAGCATATTTGTTGGATGATAAGTTCTTGAACAGTTCATTGCCCGCCGAAATTCCCTGTTGCTTATCTTTTCCGGTGTGCCATTTCTTCTTGAGGATGAAATTAGCGAGGGTAGCTGAAGTATTCAGAAACGTCTCTTAAATGTTTTTAAACCTTATTTGAAACCTTTAAATGACCCAAAGTAGTTTCCTTTTGAATGCAGTAGAAACACCTTAGACGCTGCCACTTTACACCACCTCAGAACTGCTTTAAGTCTTGATAAAGGTGCATAGTTTTTCAAGCCTCCATTTTAGACTTAACATTTGCTTGTATGCTTATTTTTCTAACTACCTAAAACTTTTGCATGATACCTTATGTTATTTTAATTCCATGTACACCAACAGAGCACAACTCTTTCATCAAATTAATTGCGTTATTATGTAACTCTTCTTTAACAATTGTTTGTGACAAACCATCACTTTTGTTACTACCCTCTTATGCCGACATCCGATTCAACTGAGCTTACTAATTGTATTTTCGTTTGATACACATACAAAATAACCATATATGTATATTTGCGATTGTACAACTATGAAAATGAACTCTCCGCCGCCGAAAAGAGACTCTTCGTGGAACTACTGGTCTTCTGTCTATTAATGCTTGAGAAATGTTTCATCCTAGTTTGGAACCTATGACATGGATACAGAACATGTTTCCTGTAAAGTAATAAAGATTGTGCGACTGCCAGAATGGTCTTGTGGATTAGGTTTAACGGTCAGACCAATCCCCATCATGCCTCCACTTTTGACGACTTTGCAGAAACGTCTCTTGAATATTCTTAACCTTCGTTGAAATTTTTTAATGATCCCATGCAGTTTGCTTATAAGTGCAGTAGAAACAACTTAGACGTTGCCGTTGTACTCCACCACAGTACTGCTTCGAGTATTGATAAAGGTACATATTTGTTCAAGCCTGCATTTTAGACTACACCACTGCCTTTCACTCCATTCCTCTTCAGATATTACCAAGGAGGCCAATATAAGCGCACACTGACTCCTGAATAACAAGGCGGCTGGCTGTCTTATTATTTACCCCCGTGTAGAAAACAACATACTCTTTTGAATGGAAAGCACTCCACTTCGTTGTTAACTGAAACTACTGTGCTTCAAGGTACTGTACTTTGTCCATTCTTTCTTTCTTTCTTTCTTTTCGGATGACCTTCCAATATTTCTCCAAAGCTAACTTCATTGAATATGACGATGATCTAACTGTTTGTGGCCGAGAGATTTCTGCTGTGGATTGTGTTCTTATATGAATTGATTCTGGTCTGAATTTAACAAAATGGTCTCATCTAAATGGTCTTAAATTCAATCCATGTAAAGGGCATATTGTCGATTTTAGTTTCATATGCGAACACGACTTGAATGGACTGCCGATTCCTACAATACTGACGTCACTGTGATGATGGGGAGTAAATCAAATATCCCCTGTCTAAGAGTCAGTTTCTCTTCGAATCTTTGTTGGTCGTCTGATATCCTGTTCATTTCTAAAAAAAAAAAAACATTTTCTTTTGACTTATTACAAAAAGAAGTTGAGACATTCTGCTGGGATAATCTACTCAAACAAACCTCTTCTCTTACAACTTACCAATTCGTGTATTCTGACCATTCGCCTTCTTTATTCTTTGCCGAGCTTATTCTTCCCTGGACTTCTCAAAAGGGACTATGTCATATTACGTAGAATATTGAAGACCGTAAGTAGGATTCGTGCTGTGTGTGTTTTTGCCCTTGACTCAACTAACTGACTAATTTTTGCTGATAAATACTGCAGAATATAGGAAATGCTTTTAGTGACCTGCCAAGTCTCTGAGTGCGTTCCGCTCCTTATTCTAAGAGCACTAAATTTCCAAAATGATTTTTAGGTTAACGAGCATCTATCTAGCCTTTCCACTCCTCTTTTTGACGTACTGATCTAGGCTGCTTTTAGAAGGAGGTCAATGTTACTCACAGATCCAGTAGATAACTCTTTAGGTTTGACACCCACTAGGGATGCAAATATATCTAGATAACAA